TTTTCCCACATAACTACACCAAGGAACTCCGAAAGGCTTTTGTCCTGACTGATATCTGATCATTACTTAGGAAAATCTGATTTATATATGTATGTCCACCGTCTCTCTTTTCATTGTACATGTAAACTTAATTATCTAAATCATGTTCGTATTGCAGATTGTCTTTTCTAACTCCTAGCTTGCCTAGAATTGTTACATCTTAATACAAAATTGATTCATAGGTTTATGTCAGACAAGCTTAAGACAGTTTCATTAAAGCTTATATCGATTCTTAGACATATTGACAGGCCTTCTTTCTTTGTAAATGAACTTAGTACATTCACTTTTTTGCATACTTGCATACATCATAATGTATACAATGAAGCGGAGTGAAATAGCATTTCACTGCCTTCCTACTGATGTGAAATAACTTGGTGTAGTGTATTTGGTCCCATAAACATAAACCATAGACTTCCAACAATACTGCTGATACTGCCTTTGTTTATCATTAGATAAAAAGTAGTAATCTCCAATTAATGCTATGAACTATCGCAAAATTTGTCTTAGGATACAGTTCATCACCAAATATTCCGAACACACAGTTAATAATAAGTTTGTCAAGAATATATATATCCAAGGTGATTTGGTCAACATTTAGTAGTGTTGAAGTGCTATAACAGACAGAGGAAACAAACAGGAAATAATTCAACAGAAATTTTCCGTAGCCTTAAGATTTTCTTTCATTTTAACTAAAAATAGACACTGCTATCAAACTGAGCAATCACTGTCTGTATGCAGCAGCAAACAGCTGACTGACTTTTTCGATTGTCATGTCTAACCTTTAGATATTTCTTTTCAACGAAGTTTCTATCAATAACATTCTAAAACTTCCAACTGATAAGAACTGGCAATAACATTTTTATATATCTAAAAGGTCAAACTAATGAAGTGTTGTACTGGTATCGTTAACACATGTGTAATGATAGCGAAATTCTTCCCAACATTTTTTTTCTAAACGTCATGCGCTAAGTGATTTTATTAATAAGGTATGACAAATCATAAACTGTGTTTGTTTCTGTTGCCTACATATGGAGTTATGGAGTTCATGAATTATTAAACAAATGTAACACTACTGAAAACACCATCTTGCTTCATCGTTTTGACTGATTTCTATCTGAATGAAGCATTTAACAGAAACTGGATAACTCAATAAAATAGTCATACGAAAACTTGTGACACCAGAAAAAATCAAATGATAGAAATTTATACATACATATATCGAGAAATATTCGCACAAAACAATAACGAATAAAACGGCAATTAAAAAAATGAAGTACTCCTGATATATATATATATATATATATATATATATATATATATATATATATATCAGTTAACAATGATAACAACAATTTTAGATTTTGGTACATACCGTTTTCATTTAAATGAATTTCTTTCTTACTATGTTTTTTAAATCTTCTAGGATAACGAAATAGTAGTAAATGGGCAGGGAATTCAATCTAATAATGATGGTTAAAACTAGGCATTCCAATACTTACGTGGATATAATATATGTCGTTTGTTATTGATACAATGAAGACTAAAGCTTTTTCCAACTACTTACTTACCTCACGTTGAAGAGTTTCAACCTATCAAATTTAACTTCTGTCTATTGAGAAGTTGGTTTACTTTTCTGTCAGCTATCACTTTGTTCTAGGCGTATTGCATTGACTTCAGTTCGGTTGAATTTTACTCCTAACAACCAATGGAGTACTTTTGTTGTAAATCAGATTCTACTACAACTTTTATGATGATTTCTGGTTAAGATACGATACATTTTTTTTCTTCATTCTCCTCTAGATGAAACTAAAATATGTGTGAGAACAACAAAGTTCAGCGAAGAGTCTGTTTTCGGCGATTTCATTAACTTAACTATACAGTCGTATTTATATAAAATTATTTTGTGTGTGTGTGTGTACGTTGGGATTGTCGAAGGAATTTTAATTAGGGATCTTGTTTACGTCATCAAAATGTCTCTAAAATGTGATGATGACGTAAACAAGAACCCTAGCTAATTTTTGTATGGCAATCCTAATTTACACACACACACACACACACAATAGTTATATATAAATGCGACTGTACAGCTAAGTGAATTCGCCCAAAAAAGACTCTTCGCTGAACTTCTTTGTCCCTATATTCATGTCTGGATGGATATTTTCCGTGCATTAACATATTTATACTCTCTGTAACAGAAAAAGTGTTTAAAACCCCTCCGGGACGATCTGATCCTATTATTTACACTTATTTAAGCATTTCAACTTTGTAATTATTACCCACTTTTCTCCTAGACTGTATATCACTATTCTCACACTTGCCTATCACATTTTGATTTCATGCTCATCATTTGTCTTTGTCAATGCTTAATCTTCAATTCTATTGCTTCTCATTGTAGTTGTGCTCCATGTCAGTAATGTGTTGTTTCACAAAGTGACTTTGTTTGAATGAATCAGAGTCATTCTAACCTTGGACGATATCTGCGAGAAACGTTGATGTGTGCCCCTTGTGGATAGGAATTTAGCCACACCTTGTTGAGAATATTCTACTTGATTCCGAAGTACTTCTTGTGGTTGAATTTCGGTTAAATAATTTTGTTCTATAGTACTTGTTTTGTGCTCAAAATTTACCTTGTCTGTATAGCTGCCTAATAAGATTTTTTAATGTTGTTAATACTGGATAGATCCAGAGATCTATCGATTAGTAGTCTCTGTTTTGCATTATCTGGAGTGTTTTGTGACTGTGTGTCTCTTGAAAAAGTTACGGACCTCTGTGTCGTAGGATGTGAAGATCGGCTCAGATCACAGTGAGTCGATTTTGGTCACCAAACTCACTATCAGCAATTTAACCTTTCTTAGGCTTTCGAAAGACTCTTTTTTGAGTCAAAGCGCCAAAAAACAAACGCAAACGTGTTCGTTTTGATAATTTTGAAAGAAAATCAAGACACTCAAATTTCAGCCCATGTTGCTAAAATATAAACGATTTTTATACAACGTGAATGGAAAAAAATTTTCTGAAATGCAATTTTATATTCTGGAGTTATAACTCTAAATAAGATGACGCTTGCTTTAAATGCATTAGGTTTATAGTGTTAAATACAAAAGATATTTTCAATGAGTGCATTATTGAAAATATTAAACTGCTTTTAGTTTCCTACTAGTTTTGAGGGGTGATTTAAAATAACCGGAATATAATGAACATGTTTTCTGTTTGGTTCTATTTCTTACTTACAATTCATTCAGTAGTGTTATTCAAGATTTTTCATTCATGTGATCTGATTTGTTTATATTTTCGCAAGTTCGTATAAATAGATTTATATTCATTTTGTGTTACCAACTGCAAAATATTCATTCTGGAACATCCTCACTGTTATCTACCAGATGATTCAGATTCTCTATCCCTTTACTTTTGATGTGGACGTTTTAGTTTCTTTTATTCACCAAAAGTTACGGAAACCGAAAACTTACAACGTTGTCATCCCGTAATTGGTTCCTCGAACAGTTAACTCTCAGCTCCAATGGAAACAAATTGTGGTGATTTAAATTTCGGAATATGGAAACTTAATTTAGCTTTTTCTGTTTACACCTCTTTTAATCAAATACATGAAGGCTTATTTTATCTTAAAAATATAGTAGTGCTTATCGATAACCTATCATCTCAGGAAGAGATATAAACTACTTAACCTCAGGAAACGACTTATAATTCAACACGTGCTTCGACAATAACAATAACTGTCACCGGGTTCTTGTTACGTCTAAAACGATAGAAGGTATCTTGTGAGTCATGAAGAACATAAAGATAATTTAGCGAAGAAAGTTTTCTTCATCGATGAAGTTATCTCTATCGAAGTCATATTTACTGAAAAAGGGGTATATATCTATTATCGAGTGAAAGCAGATGTGAAGCGTGTTGATTGTTTGTTTTTTCAAATTAATGTAAAACAGTGGACTAGCTTTCCAGAAGTGTGGTAGACAGTTTTACTGAATTTCCATAATCTAATGTTAATTTTAGTATCCTTTTTAATACTGTATTGGAATGTTTTCAGCTAAATCTATTACTTCATACTATCTAGAATAAGATAATAACGAATCAAAATGCATTATTTTCTTCGGGTAAAGCAGTCAATTAAGTGTTTTTTTCTCATATTAGTGTGGCACAGAAACCTATCTCTTGATGTTAGCCTAAAAATACTTCAAGTATTGGTTTTGTAGAGAATTTTGTTCGATTGGTTGGAGGATTTCATCATGAGCTGACAGTAGTAACCCAGTATCCAGGAGATCTTGAGTTCGAACCCCGGTGGCTGCGTACTAATGAAGAGACCCAAACTAGGACGAAACAGCTGTCCAGTACTCACAGGTTTTCGAGTGGTTCCCTAACTGATGCCAGCTCATGATAAAATTCTCCAACTAATAAAATGACTTCAGTTAAATACCACTTTGAGTGCTTAGAAGTTATGTGGTTTTAAAAATTCATAGTATGAAGACATTCTTCGAAAATTTGTACAGCTTCGGCCTGCATTATACTCACCATAGATGAAAATTGAGCAACAAAGACCAGGTAATTCAAAACTCAGTTTTGCTATTCACACAGGCATATTTTCGTTACTACCTTAATTTATTAGGAGTGGAAATCATGATTATTGTGTGGCTATATAGCCTCGTACTAACAGCCTATTAACATACTAACAAGTATAAGGATTATACTTGTGAAATCTCATCGAAATTAAAATGAGTAATTTCATAGTTTCGTTCAGAAAACTGGTCCGAACCTCTTCAAGATAATTAATCCAAAATTAAAGTAACAAATGTTTATGTACTAACCAGTATTATTGCAAAACAATTTATTCAGTTATTTAATCAGTTGAATATGAATTTCTATTCTTCGTAATGATAAGAATTTTAAATTTACTGGAGGCGGTACCAGTTAGTTACCCTCATTCTGAAAATTCTTCTGTTAATTTATAGAATTTGGTCGCACCTACCAGTTTGAAGTTGCCGCATATAATGGAGTTGACCTTGGTCTTCCTGCTCAATTAAATATCAGTACACCAGAAGATGGTAAGAATGCATGGTTTTCTCTTATTTCTTACTTTAATGTATGCTTTGATTATTAGGAGTATACTGTATAAATAAGCATATTCTAACATGTACTGTCATCTTCATACGATATTTTCTTGATTGACATTTTTCATGCTGCCTAGTTAGTCAGGTTTAAAGAGAACTATCCAAATTCAAAGGGTAAATTATCTGCTAAATACTGAGTGGAGATTTTCAGAAGCCATATTTGCATAATTCAACCACTTATACGTCGTCAATTGTTTTGCCAACATCTTTTTGAAGTAGTAATTTTGCCTAGGTTACTACAAATACTATAGTAGCAATACATAAAACAAAGACTTCTTTAAGAAAATATCAACTGTTAGCTTATGCCGACTATTGCTCTCCATTAAATATTAGAAGCACTTCATTACGCCCAAGTTGTTATTAGGTTTCCATGCATTTTCAGTGGGAATAAGCTCACATCATGTATCAATATATAAATTTTATATTTATTAATGTTTATGTATTCATAAATTTATGCTTACATAGCACTGCTCTTTGGAATGCTAAAGCGAATATATTTCTGGTTTAACACAGACTTTCAAAGTGAATAGTTTCTCCATACAAATTCCCAACTGCTATAATTAAGAGGGGACTAAGTTGCCTTAGTCATGGGTCCGTATAATGACAGCTGACACACTATAGCCGATGCCGTTTATAAAGATAAATACTGTTAGTAGACAACGTGACATCAGTATAAGGAAGAAGAAGTAACTATCCATTTATAAGAAATCTGAAGATATCAGTTCACAATAACTAAAAAAGTATGGAATGCATCGGGAGAATCCTGTTTGGGAAACCTCTTCACCATTTGGATCCTTAAAACTTTTAGAGGAAGATTATACCCTTCACTTGATTGGGATTAAGAACCAAGACTCAGTAAAGTGAATTGAATCAATTCCTCACTAGGGAAAATTAAGAACAATCAAAATCGTTCAAATCCTTATTTATTAACTTTTCATTCATCTTATCGCCATTGTTTGACCAGTATTCACAAAAGTGCTTGGGATTAGTATTGCTTATTCAGAAAAATACTCCAGCCATTTAGGAAATTTTATCAGTAATATCCCGTAGTAAATCAGACCTCCACTCTTTGACACGATCTCGTTAGGATAGCAAAATCCCTTATGGAAACTAGTTAATCAGCTTTCATTTATGTCTTACTTTTCAAGTTATTTGTGATCACTGAAAGTTACTTCAATTGTCTCTATACATCGGTAATAATTAAGCGTTCATTTATTAACCGGAAGCAATAAATTATCAGGCAAAGTAATCGTTAATTTCAATTATCATATTAAATTATTAAAACCAAAGTGAATTTTTTCAGTGTCTACTGTTTAGGTGAAATTTTCTTTTTCAATTTTATGGGCTAGTAGTGACTATAATAAAATCAACTCCTGTTATCACACACCTCAGTATCTAATGTGGATTCCATAGGTTATCCCGAGTGACAGTCACAATTCACTTGTTCACAATATGAAAGAAATCTAGTTTGCTTTATAATGATTATTGCAGATAAATGGAAAACTTATTTAAAGTTCATTTAAATTGTTTCAATTAAACCAACAGTTCATTATTTTGAAACTTCTTTATTTTCTTCTTTCGTCGATAAAATACAGTGCCTGGAAGCTATCTGTTACATGTGCGCGTTAAAGGTCTTTCAGCTACTGCTATTGAAGTTTCATGGACTCCACCTTCAAGACAAAAGTGGAATGAAGAAATTATGAGCTATCAGGTAATCATTGTACATATGTTTATAAAATCATTTAGCAAACTTTAGTACTTTCACTTCTGTCGAGTATTATATCCGTAAATGCTGAAGAACTGCTTGACTTTTAAACTCATCAAACTGATAAGAAATTTAAATCTTAAACTTGAAATATTTTGCGACCATAGTTCTGAAACATTATAGTATTCTCTAGAAATGCCTAATACTATTATCAGCAGCGATCATAAGTATACAGTACTTGAAAGCAGATGGTAAACTAATTAAGAAATAACATTAGGCTGGTAAACCTGTCTACCTCACGGACTAGGGATGGAGATTATTGTTAGTGCATACATGCACCTCTGTAAAATTATTCATTTGAATAGATAACATGATTTTATGTGATCTGCGTCCTGAAGGTGAAGTCTCAGGTAATTTGTATGATCTGAATACTTCATTTCGAAAACGGCTGCCACAACCATTCGATGAAAACAAATGCCAAGAACACTCTTTTATAAGCCTATTTTACTTCCTAACTTGCTCCTTAAACAACAGAAATCGGCCTAGGCTTTTCTCATGTAACTGTTTAAATTTATTACTGAAGGCTTTTGGTTTTCTTTGTATGCTTTTCTATCCATGGTTAAAAAGGAGCTGACAGTACTTCATTTCTTGCTCTACTAAATATTATTTAATTTAGGTTCGATATTTTCAACCAAGTGCACCGAATGAAACCGAAGTTATAACAACAACACAGGAGCCACGTTTACAAATTGAAAATCTTAAAGAGCGTACATTTTATACTGTATTGGTGAGAGCATTAACTAGAAATGGAGCAGGACCGTGGTCAGCAGCCAGCACTATTCGAACTACTGCTGAATGTAATCATACTTTTTTACTTCTCTAGTTTTATGCTACGTAAATTCATTTCTGTGTTAGACAAAATATCATTTACTCTCCTTTTTATTTCATATATATATATATATATATATATGGAATTAAAGTTAACACGATTATTTAAATCAGTTAACGGGACTATGATACTCTGAGTCACTCAAACTGAAATTTGTCAACTTTAAAATAAATGACATTTATACCTAGAATGCAAACAAACGATGTTTACGGTATTACTTTAAACAATACATGATTAAATCTTCGCTGTTATTCACTTGGATTTTATTTCGTGAATCCATTTGAAGACAAATTTCATATCGAAGATATATCACAAGGACTACACCAACAACGAAATATGGTTAGGCGATATTTTTGTTTAACCTTAAGAAACTGACATTCATTTAGTGACGAACAAAGCTTGAAAATATACGGCAGATTACCTGTCTGTCAGGCAACTGAACATTTCTGTTATTTTTAGCTTTTCGATACAAGATAATAAGTATCTTTAGGAATGTACTGTACATTTTAAGAATGTTACGTATTCACTTTAAATGTTCACATTACATTTATGCATCTTAGTCAATTTCTGTGAACGATGATCTTTATTTAACAGAATGTGAGTTATTTTATTAATGAACTGTAATTCAGGCAGAATGATTTTGTGCACATTTGAATAAGAACGCAGCTAGCGCAAATCTACACTATCTGTTCATGTTAAAATAATATTTCTGGGAAATTCTGTCAATAGTCAATGCCATTATTCATCTTAGTTATTTTGGCCTCCTTTTTCGTATATATTTAGGCAACTTAAGGAAAGAGACAAACAGAATATTCTGAGAATTAGTTACGTGAAGGTTATAAATTTGTCAGGAAAAATGTTTTAAAAGAAAAACCAGAATGCAAAGTTTCTGGTCAGAAAGTTAAAATCAGTTATAATCAATAAGCTGAGAGAATGGAAGCGAGTAGTTGTGAAAAAAGGGGTTTCACCACTTGAAAAAGTCATAAAACACTATTTTATAAGCTTGAATTAGTAAAATATATAATTTCAAAATACTTCAGACAGGAAATATCATATAGTTTTTATTGAAAAGATAAATATAAGTGTAGTTTATTGTAGTTTTGCTGATTGAATAAAGCGTAGCTTCAAAATCAATATGACATGTATTAATGAAGGAAAAGTTAATATCATCAATTACTTTACTTATGTAACCTAGATATAATTCAAACACTTAGTTCTTATAAACGGAAGCTCTTGTCGCTGATGTCTTATATTTGTGAATAACATTTTTATACGTGTGTTGTATATACTGCTCGGACAAGAGCACCACTGTTGTGAAAGTTTATTTCATATTAGGAGTATAAACTATGCAGTTTTCAAATCTAAGTATTTAATCGTCTAACTCGCATATTTTGCCACCTAAATACTGACAGAATTTGAAGAGTACATCCAAGATATTTAATGATTTGGACTAACAACAGCTTTATTGGATGAATTCCTCAAGTGAAAGTAATTCGAATTGTGCTCTACACAATTTTATTTAATATTTAAGTCATAAAACATTTTGAATGAAACACAAATTGAAAATCGTTCGACTAGCTTTTTTATTTTTGATGATATTCGAACAAATAAATGTAACTGCAAGAAACATCAAAGATTAGTAATATAGATGATAAGATTTAACTTTAAATGTGACTTAGTGGTAACTTAAGGTACACTAATTCCATCAGCCGAAGACCACTTCATTCCGTAACACTAACCTGATTTTGTAATAAATTATTGAACTTTATTTCAGTGCCTGAGCCTCCTTCACAAATTAATGGTTTACGAATTAATCCAAGACAAATAAAAGTCACATGGAATACAATGCCTGTAGGTCCTCTAGCAAAACCACAAATACCAATAACTGGATTCCGTATATTCTATTCAACAAATGAAAATACCCAGGATTTGAACACATGGCAAGTTCTAGATGTAGGACCAGTAACGATGGCTACACTTGACCTGTTAGATCCACAGAAAGATTATGTCATAAGAATTAAGTCAAGAGGAGCTGACAGGAGATATGGACGACTGAGCGAAGCTATTCATGTTGGAACTTATAATCCAAATGAACTCACTGGAATAAATAAAGAAACTATAAATATGCCCGGATCAGGACCAGAAGATTTATCGTGTACATGGGTTCAAACACTTGAAACGGCGAAACCAGGAGAAGCAAGTCTAAAGATTGCATGGAAGCGTCCTCGACAGCTTGAAGGCCTTTATCAGTTTGAGGTACGTTAGATATGTATGTATAAATCCTTGCCTTCTCACTCATACTGATTATTTTCAGTGCTAACTTCATTAGTGCTGAAGATGTCACATAAATAGGTATGACGTTTGTAATTAAGGTACACATTCCTAAATCTGTATTCACAAGACATATTGCCTTTAGGTCCTCTATTTTAACATTGTTTTGTGATTGTTAAAATTTAATCTCTTCCTCTCAGTTATTCAATAAAGCCAATTAAGAATATATCAGTAGTGCTGATAATACTTTCGTGTAAATTATCGTAATTTGAAATATTATTTAATTGCAGATTCAGTTGCTTGGTTCAAAAACCTATACCGATGAACGTAATCATCCACACCGTATCCTATACGAACCACGATCAGTGGAAGTGACAGTTTCGATGTTGGAACAGTCTCCAACCACCTCTGTTAATACTAATGGTTATATGGCACCTGCCGCAGAAAACTCTCATTATGAATTAGTAATTGATGATCTAGAGGCAAACACTGTATACGACGTACAAATCCGACCTATTTATACAAAACATGCTCAAAGTACAGTTAATGAGATTTCAACCTTAACAGGACGCACAAGCTGTCGCACTCAAATGCTTCGTAAGTCTTCATAGGTTTTTATCTAATTAAATAAATCATCAAAGTAAGTGAGTAACTTTATGCACTGATATTTATCAGATATGCATAATGCATGTAGATAAAATTAAAAATGTAATCTGAATAAAGAATAAACTAGGCTTAGAAAATAATTAGAATTCGTTCTATGGTTTTTATCCCATCTAAGTAACAATAAATCTAGGAAAAACTCCTTTTGAGATTGATGAAGACAATTGTTACTATTACATAAGTTGAAAATTTATTCTGGAAATCTATTTACCCATGCTGAACAAATACTGAGGACAAGTTGTTTTCAGCTGTCTAACTTCATTTGACCTTACAGAAAACACAGCAGAATATTTGAAAGCTGGCTTCTTTTCTCATGAGTCTGTACTTTCCATCTTCGTAAATTTCTGTACAATTAATACTCTGAAAGTGGTATAATATAGCCTAATGTCAATCGCGAGTTGTAAGCGAAAGGAAAACTATCAAACCAGTATGCTCCATGAAAATTTGTTTCCCTCTTCATTGGTCTAAGTTAGCAACAAAATTTACCAACCGATCTGTTAAGTACGTCTATTTTTTTCTATTACATTATAGCCCCCATTACGGTTCCACGACCTATACCAGTCCAAGTGAAACCCGATACAGGACAGGTAGTTATCAGAACATTTCGTGTTTCTGAGAGTCTTGGTCGTATAAGAAGGTACTATTTAGTCCTATACAAAGTTGCACCGACGGAGTCACCGAAAATAACTCCAAAATCAAAAGAATTTAACTGGCCACAAAAGGTAAATAACGTGCTAAACTTTTCGCTCATTATTTTTTAATATATTAAAGAACGATACATGATATGACCCTGTGCAATTTAGTAGCTCAGGTCTAACCTTAGATGATAATGTCATGTTTGTGCTTTTCACGATGAAATATAATCTGTTTATGCTAATTGTTTGTAAATTTAGTAAAATTTAGGACCCTTACCTTATATTGCCTTTCGGACTCCCTTTTTGTGTCAAGATTTTTGGCTTTATTTACTATCCTGTTACTCAGTGGATTTGTTAACTAATAACAGTATTATACCATATGACTCGTTTATCCATATATCACCATCATAAGCGCCTGAATCCCTATCATTATGAAGAGGTCAAGTACTTTCAACATAATGTTAAGTATTTCAGTTTTTTAGTGCCCTTCAGCATAAACACTTCAAAGTTATCTGAACTACTTGAAATGTTCCATTATGGATAAAATTGATTTTGATAAAATCTCAAATTATTATACAGTAATATTTACTGATGACCACGTTTCGAGTACAATTTATTTCTCATAATCATATCAAGTAACTTGATTATGAGCAATAAATTGTACTCAAAACGTCATCAGTAAATATTACTGCATAACAATGTGAGATTTCATCAAAATAAATTTTTTCCACGATGGAATTATACTCTACCACAGCGCCCAAGTTTATATTCTTATACTTGAAGTGTTATTATATTACCCTTTGAACAAGTGAATAAATCTTTTTTATACATAAAACTACTATACTGGTACAAGTAAAATCTCTAGTCATTTAGTGGAAATGAAAATCCCAAGCTTTGCAGTAGCAAAATTCAAATCTTAATCTATTTTTATCATTAAAAAATCAATATAAAGAAAGTAGAAGAACAGTGTTTTTTTCTTTATTAAGTGGAAACCAATTACGTCAGTATCGTTTCGGTGTTTATTTTACCGTTACAACAATGCACTTTATAAAATAAAGAGCACCTATACAGTTATCACAGATCTGTATTTACAGTTAAAATATCTGCCTAAAAATAAACAATTCGAAGCAGGTATATGGAAAAATAAAGAAATAAACAAGCCTAAATTTTTGTTTTAGTGATACAATAACAGCTAAATATGACTGCAGTTGACAATAAAACAAAACTTGAGTAAAGATCTAGACTAATACTAGCAGAAAAGCACTATTAGACTTTGATTCCCTCCAGTTCACTGAAAATTTCTTTCGGATAAATGCCTAATAATAAATAATAATTCTTCCTTCACATTCCCATTGGAACATAGGGCTTCAAGCTAGTGGCTTGAAGTTTCTGTAGCAGTGTTTCTTTTTACAGGATGGGGTTGCTAGCCTCATGCCCAACCTTTCCTCTTTACCAGCATTATTTCTGGCTTAACGAGGTAGAGGAGTGAGTCGGCCGGAGATCGGACCGTGGACCATGTGCATGGTCGGTGAGCGTCCTAACCGCTGTGCCACCGACTTACTTATGAGAGTGCAAATATCGTAGATATCACTTTTCCGGATTTCGTAACAGAAATGAAGAGTCGAAATTGGCTATGTTATCAGTTTGGTAGTTAATCTTATAAACCATTCTATTTTTAAAAATTATGATTGCCGTTGCGAGAAATAATCAGAAAACTATCAGTGTTGAAATTTTTGGTATTGGATACGTCATCTGATAGCAAGATTGGGAGATCATTTCACTTTGTCTTTATAATTGTTCATAGAAACTGTTGTGTACCATACTTTATTAGCATCATACTACATATCTGCATTCCAATTTTGGGAGTGTTCTCCGAACTTGAGACATCGCGCTTTTTGTGTCCGCGTCTTTCACTAGCAATTATAGCTGGTTGATTTCACATTAATGCTATTAGAGGTTACTATTGCCACCATAATCTCTTTGTTGGGAAATTGAACAGTAAAATAACTATAAAATATCAAATGCACAAGAAAATGGAGAGTATTTGCAGGGACAAGACGTTAACGAAAGTAAATTATTTCGCAGAAACTAATCAGAAGAAGAGAATATAAGTCAGTTAGTTACCCCATCATTGTCACTGAAGCAGACTGAGGTTATTCTTCAAGTTGTTAGAACTTCCAGTTAAATAAGACTAAAAGTTTAGAAAAGTTCAAGTAGACACCTGCTATTTATTCTAAATGAACTAGAAATGCGCCAAACGCCTACATTCTAAGATTATTTAATGAAAGACAAGATTTAAAGAACTTAACATTAACTACTAGACAAGAAATTTAGTAACCTAAAACACAACACATTTCTGTTTTCTACTTTCACTGTGTCTTTTAACTTTCTATCTATCAATATATTCGTTTATTTCAAAAATTAAACGAGAATTCAGAAGTTTTTATTACATTTTTATGACATTCGCTAAATCTTTTTCGTAAACTGCTTTATCAAAACACAACAGATGGAAAAACGATATAAGCTCAAATATTTTGCATTTAGATATTTATCTGAATTTCCTATGGGGAAATTTCAAAAAAGAAGGAACAATGATGTCTACGACATTTAGGTGCACACAGGACTTTCTTGCACTTAAAATAAAATCACATCGATGCTTTCTTTTATTCAGTTTAAACTGAAGTGAGTTATTATCTGATTTGTTTCTTTCTTCTGTGAAGAATGTTATATAATTAGCTAGGTGGCGAATAAAATACTAGCAAAAACTGCACCCAGTCACGCTCACACTGTTGTATTCTGCTTACATTTTTATTCGTGTTCTTTTTCAACACTGTAACTTATTAGCTTCATGAAGCATCAAACTCTTGGGATCCAAACCTTTTTATTGCGGCTGAATATAGTCAAGAAGCGTTTATTGAACCACATTTGGAAATAGTGTTGAATTTGCCAACACCAACGGTGAAACGCTTTAAACGCATGACAGGAAATAAAGTGAATTCTTCTACCAGTCGAACTCACCAAATGCAGTATGACAAAGCAACTTCTAGTTCACTACCTGAAGTTCTAGTCCATGGAAGACAACTGATTAAAAATCAAAAGTATATGGTAAGTTCAGTTGTCTTTATCTGTTGCTGTAACTGTTTTCATTCTTATCATAAATTATTAGTCAACACCTGTATCAGTTTCAGCGTGGTAAGACGATATATTCCAAACATTTACCTTTATACTAAGCGGTTAAAGATGGATACCAAAGATGTATATATGTATCACAGTTGTAACCTCGCCTGCTGAACTTCAGTAATTTGGTTGTCACAGTCACAAATGTATGGTAGTCTTCCGTATTTCTTCAGATACCATCTACACAGCTTCCTACAATATGAAATTTAATAATACAATACAATAATGCAGTAATAATAGCTTTATTCTTAAAAATGCGTTTATACACAATACAGCATACTCAGCTAGTCTCACTGCTAAGTTTGTGCACCTTAATGAGAATCATCAAATAATGTAATAACTCAAGTTATATCATATGGAGCAATATTCTTCCATCTAAAGTATGCTCCAATCCTACTCCACAATGTTCTTCTGCTGTCTCCTTCCAAAAATTGCTAGCTGTAAGTAGAAATTCACTTTCGATTGTGCGCAAGTATAGATGGTAAGACATAGTGGTAATTAGTAGGTTAAAACAGTTTGAAACGGAGTGAAAACGAAGTATTTTCATGAGTAGAAACTTTACGCAGATCAGAGAATTAAGTAGACGACGGTTTGTCTCACTTAGTGGTCAACAGGTAAAGATTAAAACCTTTGGTTACAGTTGAAGCCTAAATTTTACTGGGGGTAAAACAAAAATTGGATTGCAACAAATCTGTAGTTTGTCTGAATATTTTGTTAGAGGCTACTCTGATATCGCGAAAGTGTTTCTGCCTATTAAAACATTGAAACAAGCCAGCAGAAAGAAATATTTTGTTTTTATGAATAATTGGGCACTTTTCAAACTCCATTGTTCAAATTTGTCATTTACAAGGTAAAAAGACTGAAGTGATGAACAGTAGTCATGACTTTTCAGCTATTCCCAAGAATTGAAAATTTGAAGAAAATATAGTACAAAGTAATCAAAGTGGTAATCGTATGTGTATTTAAAATAGGAGTTGATTTGTCATATTCTCTTGCGAACTAAGCATTTCCAGGTAAGAATTCAGCTCGCTTTCTTTTGAAAATCCAAAATATTCCAACCACATTATTTGACCTACTTGTACCATAAAGAAAGTGAGCTGAACAGCACGGTAACTCATACTTTTGCTATAAGTAATTAAAGATCACTTACTTCAACCAGTACTATTTGCCAGCCACACGACCTGAACAATGAGCAGCCAACTCACTTGTTTGGAGTCGAATACACCACAGGTGTAAGTCGACTGACTTATCTCAGAGCAAACAACCTGAAATCTTTTCTGGCGATTAAGATTGCCTGCTAACACATTAAACCAAATGTTCGATAAGGCTAGTAACTAACAGACTTTTCGGTAAGGCTGGTAAATAATAAAGTTTTCGATAACTAACAGAAGGTAAAGCCTTCTTTTTGGGGTTCTTGTTTGCTGTATGAAGTACATTGGAATGCTGAAGAAACAATCGAAGAATAAACATGTTAAGATTGAACTGAGGAAAAGATCCATTTGTAAATGGCTGATTATGCACTAAATTAATCACTGCAGAAACTGGTCTACCACAGGTAAATTTTCTTTCTTCTCATTGGTGTTTTATGCACTAATACTTTAAAATAGTGCAAGTATGAAAACTGGCCACATTAATACTATTTTGTGCAATATACAAGACTTTGATACTGTCAGTAAACCACCTTCTGTCCATCTTACCCAAGTGGGTTAAAATCTGCAATATGTGTACTTGAAACTGCTTAAAAATGATGGAAGATTTTCGAAAACGAACTTTTTTCCTATTACTATCGGAAAATTAGAATCCACTATTGTAACAGGTGGCATTTGTTTCTAATTAAATGAAACTATCTTCTAAATAGCCAGCAATTCTTTATAAATTTTCTTTTCCTAATTCTACAAACTTGAATTTGTAATGAGTTCAGCCTATTCAAAGATACTGGAACAAACTGTACTCAAATTAGTTGATTAATTTATCCTTTTCAGAAGTCAACCCGCATAAAGGTATTCGTCTATGGAAATAATTAAATGCATAGTATCTCTTTAAAGGTTATGAAAAGTAATACTCTTTCTGAACGATAGTAGTTTAATACAATTGATTTAAATGTGGACCGATGATTAAATACCCAATTACAATGCTAAGACTCTTAACGCTAATTAGTTGACATCTTCATTTCGTTAGTATATACATATTTGTATCAGCCTTGATCTTATTTTTAAAACATTTTCAAGATGTTAATTAAGAAAACAAAAACGGAAACATATTTGGTTATTTTCACCGTTACCCGTATATTCTTTATTACTGGTTAAATAGCAACGATAAATGTACTGAATTACAACAGAATTTAGACAGAAGGCAAAATAACCAACTAAAATTAATTTTGACCACAGAAACATTTATAATTGAACCGAATTCAGGAAATCCTGAATAAAACAAACAAATATATGGAAAAATAAACCGCTTATGTCTGGTGATTGTCTATGAGAAAGCTAAGTGGATGACTGTCGGGTATACATTGTCCAAAAAAACGTACTAGGCTTTTTCGACACTGTATTGATTGGTGATCATGCATAGGAAATTCACTTTAAACAGCGACATGAATAAAAAAAATATGGAATGGTCCTAGAATCAGCAGAGATAAATCACAGTAGATCACGAAAGACATGTTTGCAGTCGTGAATTTAGAATACAGTAAGAAAGATGCATATTATATCTTGAGCTTTATTTGTCATTAGCTTTCTCATCTATTATATTTTAGTAGCCACATGCGCTATGATCGGTAATACACTTGATAGTCTGCGCTAACGAACTTCCTACCCAGTCAATTTGTGAGCCTACTATTCTAGTCAATATTAGCAACGGCAATAACAACAATGTTGCGACACGATATGATACCACCGAACTAGAGATACACGAAGACAGGACAGGTTGTTGACATGTAGAGCTTTTAATGTCCCGAATCAACAGTTAAAACGTTTGAAAGCGATTGCGTATAATTTAAAACAGTCAACAACCAATAGGGTCCCAGTGTCACAAGTGAAGCTAGGGAATACAAATAGCTCTCTACTGAAAAGATAAATGTAGTATTTTAGAAAAGTTAGGACTATATAACAGCATTTATGAATTCTTTCGTAAGTTCAAAATACTAGACAATGTGTACATATCCTCTTATTTCTTATTACTTTGAATAATTTTATTACATTGCCTTGGTTCTATACCAGTGTACTGCATAAACTAGTATTTCTCAGGCGATTTTTGTTCCCTCAATCCTATTAATTCATGCGGAGATATATGCATATGATATATATATGATATATAAATACCATAAGTATGTTATTCTCAATCAGTCTGGTTAAAGTGCACTTCCAAACTCTTCTCGACTTCAGTATTACTAATAGTATAGAATGTTTGGTTCTATTGACATAAAACAATAAAGTGTTGTGCATAGGTTTGTTCTGAAGCACACTGTAACAATGCCTGTATTCGATCACCAGATTGATTACTTCAACTAAATGTCATTGCAAAAGCTACGATTATTGAAATATGTTAGTCCGAGATATAAATAATGTGGATATATAACTTGAAAAAATTAAAAGATGAGACAATCTGACAAAATATTCTTTATTTTCTATAGCTTTGATACTGACAGAAGTGATTTTACCAACTGCCACCCCTCTGTTTATCAAATAAAGCCGAGTTTTATTCTATGAAATATAGCTTATTACATTCAGCAAGATAAAGCAAGTCATCCAAAAAGTGCTTTTCTAAAGGATAGTAGTTCAATATATGAGACTTAAAGTTGAACTGATGATTAAATACCCGATTACAGTACTAAGAGTCTTAACGCTAATTAGTTGAAATCTTCATTCCATTAGTATTTTGATGAAAATGAGCACATTTTCAAAAATTGACATGAATCCTTTGCAAATTATTCAGTATGAGGAAAATATCCACTAACGCTGATTTTTTCTAAAAAAGAAAGTTTGACATATGTACCTTAAATTTCACCATTTCCGCGATTCAAGTAATCACCGCAGTCCGCATAAGCACCACCACTAGATTCTATAAATGATTTCTAGCTACCTGTATTACTCAGTTACATAAACGGTACATTTGTAGTAGTAGTCATCGAATCTTTCACATATGCTTTACTTACAGTCTAAGAATTCCAGATAGCTAATGTGCAGGTGGTGAATAAAGCAGTGCTTAAAGGGAACTCAGCGAACCCGCCATAACAATATTCTTCTCTATTCCAATCAAATAGTGATGAGTGCCTAAGAAGTTTGAGTGAAATGAAAGTGATAATTTTAACCTATATCACAACAATAATAATGTTAGCTTCATTCTGAAAAATACATTTATACACAAAACAGAATCTTCAGAGCATTTCTTTGCAAGGTATTTAGTTCCTTGAGGAGAATCTTCAGGTAATATAATAATCTATAATATATCAAATAAAGTAGTGTTGTTCCATCCTAATCATTCTGTAGCACTCCGCTACGATCTTGCTTCATTTCCTTCAGAAGAATCCCAAATGATTGGTAGAAGCCCATTTGAAAATGTTCTTGTGTAGAGATTGTGATTCATAGACGTAATTGAATGACTGAACCAATGTGAAATGAAATAAATACGATGCATTTGGATGAATAGGAAATTCAGGTAACCCAGCTAATTAAACAACCCTCTGGTGCAACCTTGACAATGTGTACCTGAATCTGAATAATAGTGTTAGGTTATTTATAAATAATAACCACCACTATTAATATACTGCTGTGCAGAAGAAACTGAGCTTTCATGGCTTTCACGTTACACAGACACCTTAATCACATGGTGAAGTATTTCTCTTTCCTACTCTGATTATTGACTACAATTGTAGACTGGAAAATATATTATCTTGTTTGACTAATAAAGGGCGTGAACCTTCGCTTTTATTCATTTTTATAAAATCCAACTTGTAGATAATTGTTTGTATATTCACGCACCTAAAGCATTTGTAATTCTGTTCAAGAATCAATTGAACCTCTTTTCATAGGACATTTTTACTCTTACTTTCCTAAAACATTCTAAAAGTTTCATATTTAATCATATTGTGTTTACTTTATGGCAAATAAATTGTATATGGTGGTTGTTTAGATAACATCTGTTGCAGTCAAATTATTTTGATGGCAGAAGTAACGAAAAAAGTTGAATAATATAAACTATGGCGCGATATATATATATATATATATATATATATATATATATATATGTATATATATCGATTTCTTCATTTTCATAATATTGACGATAATCTATTGATAGAAATAGTTACAAGATGAAAAACAGTCGGCAGATAACAATTATAAAAAATGAATTCGTCTTGATTTGGTCACTTAAATATTTATTATCCCCTATATTCTATGCTGAACTTTTTTACGAGGCATTATCTTCAAATGGAGTAATGCTGTCTGTTGAATTTGTTACTACGCAATCTTTCGTTGTCATATGCTTTCTTATGATGATTGTGTTTTTGAATTCTTGCCTTAAATATAGACGAAATGAACCAATTGCTTTAAACTGATATTTGCATAAAATACAATTTCATGTGTAACTTTAGGTGTCAGGTTGGCTTTTTACGATCCTACTTTTCGGTAAAGACCTCTCGACGGAATGGTAATCCTCACTTTCAGTACAACTACACTCAGTTGGATTAGTTAGGTCATGATAACCTATGAAATCTAGAGAGTGTGTCTTCTCTTATAAAAAGACAGTTTAGATAAATCTAAATAAACTTAATGTTATTTAATGGAATTCAGGATGCGCGTTTCGTCCTGTTTGACACCCCTCATCTGGATGTGACTGTAATTGCCAGAATATGATGTTAATTCCATTGAAACTAGAAACTACCATCTATCGGGCATCCAGAACAAAAGTCCCAATAAGACGGAATACACATCCTGGATCTCAGTGCCAGTCACCATTCACCAAACGTCATATTAATCCGAACAAATCATCGAAGCGTCTGTACTAGGGACTGACATGTCAGCAGAAACCGAATATTCCGATCCAATATAATCAACCAACAGAAAATACAAAATTCACTTAACTTATATAAACTAAATGTCACTTAGTAAATATTACACAGATAAAACTGAAGATCATGTCATTATAGTGCATTTATTCGTATGGAGTATTTCAAGGCGAATTGCACTTCAAATGTTTTGAGTATGGTTAAACTATAACCATGAATAATTTACTTTTCATATCAGCTTTCATTTTGGAATTAAGAAAGTAAATGTTTATAAGAAAAGTAAGCCATTAGGATAAATAAACGTAAACTTGCAAACAAAAACCTAGACATAAACAATCCACTGGTATGGTAGAAAATAGGGGTTGCGTTTTTGATGTTCTATCAACAACCTTTTTTCATGTACTTTAATGTTTAAACCTTTGATATTTTGCTAATAAGCTTGACTTCTAGCCGAAGAAAAGTAAAACGTGTGACATTATAAAATGTTTTCTTTATATCACAAAAATTATGTATATCACCTTTTCACCCTAATAAAAGTACAGTTTATAATTTTAACTAATTCAATTTTTACATCACGTTTCTACGTTTTAGGCATTTGTCCTAGCATGTATTTATCCAAATATGTTGCCTCTAGGAGGAAACACAAATCATATATTACTGGATTCAAATTCGTTAGATTATAACAGAGGACAGACTTTAGAAGATGAAGAGAACCTTACCACAGATCTTTGTACGCCAAGTTTATGGTCAGTAGACTTTCAACCTGATCAGGCAATATCTTATACAGATAAACAAATTGGTGACATGTATGCTAGTGAACCAAAGGAAAATGATGTCCGCCAGAACAGTGCTATGCAAATATCGAATTCAAATACCCAAAGTGAATTTTTCGCTAAATTAGCTGGTAGTACAGACTTTTTCACCATTACACTGATTGTTGTCATTGCAAGCCTTAGCATACTAGCTACAGTTTGCACTGCTGTAGGATGCTTTTTGAGGTTAGTTGCTGACAGTTAAACTTGTCTTTTCATCCGTTGATTTTTAATGTCATAAATTTACACAATTTTTCTATTAATTCGATATTCTATTGTCAATATGTAAATTATATACGTTCTTCAAAATGATAACTTAGTGGTAGCTTATATGTACATGTTGCCAATCACGAGATAAAACAAAGAATATGAGTTGGTAAAGAACAAATTCTTATCACTTTTTCTTTTGCATCTTTTATCCAAATGGTTCACATACTTTTGTGCCTACAGTAGATATAATAACTTACATGTTATGGAGATAATTTCACCTAAAAGATTTGTCAGTTTAGTCTACACAAGAGTGAGGTTTGAAACCTAATATATGTATAGATGTGAAATTCGCGAAATGTGGTCAAAAATAATTCCATACTAGATAAGTTTATTGTTTATGATCCTTTTTTTTCCTTCACGTTCCCCAGTGGAACATAGGGCTTCAAGCTAGTGGCTTGAAGTTTCTGTAGCAGTGTTTATTTTACAGGATGGGGTTGCTAGCCTCATGCCCAACCTTTCCTCTTTACCAGCATTATTTCTGGCTCAGCGAGGTAAAGGAGTGACTCGGCAGGGGATTGAACCCCAGACCATCTGCATGGTCGGTGAGCGTCCTAACCGCTATGCCACCTTAGTGAAACATTATTGATGACTGAATTCAATCTTATACCTGATGACAGGTAGTTTCGTTTCGATCCTGAGGATTTCTTCTCTTGAACAGAGTCCACCGAGTTGTTCTTCTGGTGGTTTCAACTTTCTCGCTGTAGCCTGAAAGCGTGTATGAAGATATTTAGAAAAGTATTGTATTTTTCAGACATGGAATGTTAAAAATGCAGTGGTCTGTAGATCATGCTTGTGTCTGTGATAGTCATGTTAGTGTATCGATTCGCCTTTGAACAGGAAGACCATAGTTATAATTGATGTAATTTTAGAATCCGGACACTGTGGTAGAACATAATGCCAAATTAGATAAGTTTATTTTATAGAACACACTGTGATGCAGTATTCATAACTGGATTTCAATGCTGTGTCATTGTGTTATGTAAAATGAATTTATCTAGTGTGGAAGAATTATGATGTTAACAAAAATTATACATTTATTCTTCTTTATGAATAATAATAATAAAATAATACATCTATCATTTATGGATGGAACTATTCACTTACGGTATTAAGTTTCATGAACCGTGTTTTTGCGAACAGAGGTAGGATTTAATCTTTTCTCTAATCACTAGATAAGCTGTGGTATATGGAAATACTAAGTAGTAATCGCACTGTATGCCATGCAGAATGATATGAACAAGAATCCCACACACAAACTTAGACATTCAATTATGATACAAGCAAAACGTGAATTCAATGCTTTGTCTTCGTTACAGTAACTTTACCAAATTACTGCTAAGAAATCCCCTGTTAACCACGTTAACTTCTACAGTAGTTTTATTTCTTCGATGTCACATAGCTAGTAATTTTAGAAAGGTATAATTTATCTTAAAGATTGGCTACACAATTTACGTATACATTAGAAATACGACAGCTGTAAACAGTGCCTTTTAATTGGCATATAGATTACAGCTGGTAAAATGGTGCAAGCCGGCTTCAGTTTTAAGTTCTTAAAAGGATGAAAAACAGTTTGAATTCTACATATAATTTGTAAAGAATTATTCTGATTTAGGTTTAACCATTGCTTATGTTAAACCAAAAAGTATTTCCACACTCGCATTGAATCAAAGACCTTAAATAGTTACTCAGATATCAACTCTAAGCAAGTGGATTTTATTATTACTTAGCCTTACAAAAGTGATGAAGAAATTTGGTGTAGACTCAAATTTTTACATTTCTGTCGAACTAATTCATATGTTGAAGTAAAACTATGGTTACACTGCATTTTAATCCATAGATTTCAGCCATTTCTTAAGACATTCAACGTGAATGACCTCTACTCAATTCAAAACAGTTATTATTTAAGCTATTTGAACATGGATTTCCGAAAAACAAAATGATGGTGTAGGTGACAGCCTTATTTCTTGTATTGGAAACTAGTTACGAAATTCTTCTATAACTGTGGTAGATGTTTTACAGTCTCCGAATAAAAAAATTTATCAAACATATCCTTGTTTTGTAGAAAACGTCGAACAAAACCTATGGATAATGACATGTCAATAACACTAACTCCATCAGATGGCATGTTAAAAACACCTCTGATGCCTCAATCAGTTCAGAATTTTTCAGGAGCCAACGGTGCTGTTGAACACGATCAAATGGATCCTGAAACACCAGGTAAGTTATATTTCTCGTTGTATATTATTGGTATATTAAATATACCCATAGTAAAATTTAGAACGACACATTCAAGCGAACAATATTGTTTTCAGTTAGATCTCATCAGGATTAACTTTAATATATATAATTTTACAAATAAAATACAAAATATAAACCAATCATGGTGTTTTGTCTATGGGATAATAAGATGATGAATATAAATTGTGCAATTATTCATATTAGTAGTAATGATAATAGTAATAATAATCATAATAATGATGGTTTTATCAATAATAAGGATGAAAAAGTGAGGCAATCTGTGATAAAAACGAATGATGAAAAAACAGCATAATTAAACAAACAAATGTTCAAGTGAAAGTAATCGATAAAGGCTAGTAAAAACAAATGAACCGATTACGTAATGCTACATTGTAAGGGAAGTAAATGAGACACGTTTTTAATGAAGATGTGATAAGATTAAGGTATGATAAGAAAGGGGTTAAAAATATAAACAAGGGTGGTGTAGAAGTCTCTAGTTGGTTATATCTTAATAGGCCAAGGGAGGGATAATGGCTGTATGAACTTCTTTTGGATGCTTAGTTTTGGTTTAATAGTTCGAATGCTTATCGACTCAGCTGTGTACAGCAGACGAATACGAAGTCTTTTGGAAAGATTCGGTAGGATACGATGAATTACTTTGAAAGCTCTCGTTTTCTCCACTACATGACCACTATCAACTAAACGTGATAAAACGGAGTCAAGGACAGTCTTCGTCTGTCCTTCGACATGTTGAGTAGACTGTTTAGGAGTGCACCCAACATAACTGTCACCACAGTAACAGTAGAATTGATAAATACACACAGATGTGTAAAAATTGTCTAGCTTACCCTTCTTTTGAGTCCTAGTCATTTGTCGGCTAGGGAATAACAAACATTTGGAAATTCTCTGAAATAAAATCTCACTTGATAAGTCACTATTAAATTGTATCTTAATAAATAGAGGTTTCTTACGTGCAGTTATAGTCTCAGGTTTTCACTCTGATGTTTTCATGTTTTCTTAAGAAACTACTTAGGTGGCCCATCTCCATCAAGGAATCATGAATATATATTCAAATTCCTTTTGTAAGAGGTCATCCGTACATATCTTTCTTACTCTGCTCGTAAAACATTTAACATCTTTTTTATATTTAATGGGCACGTAACTAAGGAAGTGTGTGTATTGACCTGTGAATGTGCTTTTTCTGTACACGCTTCTCCCAAGTGACCCATCTTCTCGCCTACTTAGCAAGATATCCAGGAAATGCAGTTTATTCTCCTACTCCTCTTCACAAGTAAAGGTAAGCAAAGGGTGGATGTTGTTGAATTTCAGCGACAATTAGTCTGTGTTAACATTCTGATCAGCCAAGATAAATATATCATCGACATGTCGGTAATACATATCAAACTCCTTGATGGTGTCCTTCAGTTTCCCGTTTTCAAGTTTTGCGAGAAAGAAGTCAGCTAATATTGGGCCTAATGGTGAACCTATAGCTATTCCATCTACTTGTCGGTAGTAAGAATTACTGAAGACAAAGTGAACATTCATTGTGCATTTGAGAAGTAATTCTTTGAGGCTACACAAGGGGATTCCTAATTCTAATTGCCTTTCAGTGATTTCTTGAGAAATATAATCTACTGTTTCCATAAGCGGTACGTTAGTGAATAGCGATGATACATCCGTGGATAACATGCGTTTATACCTCACATTAGCCTCGGATATTTTAGAAATAAAGTCGAACACATCACTAATTCTATGTTGCACAATTTCTCTGTGTATTACTGGTATTATAGTTATGAATATCTATAGAAGCTGTGAAACTGGAATATACTACCGTTAAATTATACTTGAACTTGGTATGTGTATTATCACTGATGCACTCTTCAGAGGCAAAAGAGCTTGCAGTTTTAAACTAGAATATATCTCTTACATGTAACGTTCCTATTATATGTTGGATCTAGTGGAATTTTTGTGGCTTTATTCATTATGTCAGACATGTGATATGAAGATATACAGCCTACTAAATCTGCCTTGGCATCATTCATATACACAAATCTTAATCCTGAATAGTTACTATTTAATGCCTTACACAGTCAAATCGAACAGGGAATATGGATGACCCCTAGTAGTCAAACGTTTTAATTATTTTTATTTATCCCATATGTTCATTTATTAATTGCAAATCTCCCACTGTTGTGGTTTTTTGAATTACAGATGTTGTTCCACCGGTCAGTTATAAGATAAGTAAGTTTGTGACAAATTTTTCTGTAACTTCTAAAAGGAGTTGATTCTTTTGCAAATAATGTAGAAATGATATTTAAGTATTTTAAAGTAGTGAGGCAGTTTCATCAATGACTTTCATGTACAAATGACATAATTTGAAAAGTAACTTGAGACAGTGCCTACAGTGAACCATGTAATTGCCTTGGGTGGGATGAATCAGGTATCAGTAAATAGTCACAAATAATAGTTCTATAGCCTCTCCATAGTTGTACAGCTTCAGTTTTAGCAAAATATAGTTCTTGATTAAATGATTTCGAGTTCTTAAACAAACAGTGTAAGCATATTTAGTTATGAAAAACGTTCGTTGTCCTCCTATCCACTAAACATTGAACTAGAAACAAGCGAAAAATGAAACATAAAACCAACTTTGTATAATTTAAGCAAATCACCCTGGATAAGGATTTGTTTACATAACACAATCTCTTCCACAATAGAAATTTATTTCGTCAAATACTTAAACTTATTAATGAGTCTTTTCATGTTGCATATTCATTTAGTTTCCTATACTGTCCCACCTTTCTGACTTACTGTTTAATTATTATACTTATCACATTGATTTTTCTCACTCTTCCTACCCTTCATTCCCGGGTGCATATTATATTCTGTTAACAAAAAAGATGTGACTGAAAATGAGGTTTAAGAACATACACTTCATACTTTCAAAAAACCTTGTACTGAGCCCCGTAGCTAGAATAATTATTTCGGATGAACTGAATCACTGCAAGCAAATAAAATTAAACCAGAACGCATCAGACAATGACAGAATTTAGGAAAGTAGTAAATTCAACAACAGTAAAGTAAGAAAAATATATTAAGATACAGTAAAATAAAATGGCTGAATTTAACTTGTTTGTGGGTACAAATGAACTCATTAACTGGTTTGTGACGAAAACTAAACAATGTAACAGTTGCAGTCTTTTTAAGGTCTTAGCTTTTATAGACGATAACTTATTTGTCACAGAAACTGTATGAACTATTTTTTTAAATAAATCTTGAAAAGATAATAAATTGTACGTCACTTTCACCCTCTCGTGCTAATTAATTTATTTGAAAAATTAAACGAGAATACTGACTACAAAGTTATGACTGCATCACATCTAAGGCTTACCTAATCAGTTGACACTAATAAATATTAGACCTATCTGTGGAGCAGCTATTCGTTGTAGAACACTATTTTAAAGTTTTGCGTAAATGTAAGACTTGTATATTAGTCTGAAATTTGAAAAGGCATTATAAATTTCTTGAACCTAGTTTATAAATGACTCTTAGTTGTCGGAATTAAGTTGTCCCTTGAAAAATTAAGTTTTCCTTTAATATTTATAGAAGGATTTGCATCACTAATATCCAACTCCATGGCATTTTTGTCCTATATTCTAAGCGAATATTATAAGAATAGCACATTCTAAATGTATATATTAGTAGAAATAACTTACTGAGTATCAAGGGATTTCAATGGAATTCTGAGCCCATTTCCTCCCCAGAAATCACATCTTTTGTTTACTCGTAAAATATTATTCTTATAACAGTACTATCAGCTTACCAGCTCTTAAATGTATCATAGAACCCAAAATTTAACATTTTCACTGGTCTGTAAAGAGCAGAACAAAGATCAGATGTTTGTAAGATTCCATTGTTGTTATTTCGACAAGTATCATTTGAAATAACAACTTGACTTATAAATTGTTATAAATTTGTAGTGTGCTGTCATGATAGAAAAAGCACACTATAAGATTATAGGACTTTACGCAACACTTAGTGATTACTTGTAAGGTATTCTTTCTCAGATCTTTATTAATGCCCAAAAAGGTGAGCATACTACTTTATCTGCTATCAGTGAATATCACTGAGAAACAAAAAATCATATAGATGAATGGATAGAAAATCTCACATTAAAGTGCTTCGAAATTTAAGTATAGCAATATATATACTTATATATGCATTAGAATGCAAAATGAATTCACCTCCTTCAAATGTATACATTAATATTAGTTCTAATACAAAATGAAGAGTGAAAGACAGTAATTATAAAAACGTTGGTACTTTTTTACGCATGTGTTTTTTTAAAATAAATTTGCACCCAGGGGATCTCATGTTCATTTATGATATTTTTTTATCTATGAGCTTTGTAAAGTTTAAAATCATTTTTCATCAAAAAAAAAGTTCTGTTATTACAGCTCATCCAAACATTTGTTCTTCTAAATATAAATATAGCCAGAACGGTTATTAAAAAATGGAAATAGGTATAGAAAGATAAACTGTGTGTATGTGTTCGTGTGTAAGGACTTTAAGGCACATGAATGAGGTTCCCTGTTGTTTATTTCACCTTAGATTAACTTTTAAATAATGTTATATAACTGTAGCATCATTAAGTTTTCAAAAATTATTTCATAAAAATTACGTAAAAATAAACTTGTAAATTTAAAGTATGAAAGAATTAATTTTATTGTAAACAATGAAAATCTCAGCGAAATAAAACAGAAATGTATGAAGGACAGATAAGGTGCACTTTATCTGTTTCCTGAAATGAAAGTTAAATTTTAAATGATTACTTAGCTTAAAGTGTGTAAAAGGAAAAATTCAACCATGTGTGTACTTGAGACTGAATGATCATGTGTTAACTGGAAGTATGTGATTCTGTTTTGTTCTTCGTGACCTTCATTAACTTTATTAGTATTGTCAGTCTGAGACAGTGTTTAATCAAAATTTTATCTCTTCCCTATATGATTTACATTCTGTGCCTTTTACTAATTTAACCAGAGAATTCGAAGAGGTTTCATGCTTTTCTCCGTAAATTTCACTTAAATCTCAAGATATGTTTGTGACTATCCACCATTATCCTAATATTTTTGATGTTCATATAGTAAACAAGAAAGTTGTGGTCTGCAAATTGAATAAGTGATTGGAGGCAGTTTGGGTACTTTTTAAATTAGCTTGAACAGAATCGAATTTCCCACCTATGACTCAGAAATAAACACCTATATAAGAGAAAATGTAGATTAGATAGAATTATTCTTTTATTACAAAACCACTCATAGAAAGTTAGTTGGGTCTTTGGTCTAGAAGAATTGTCGAGTAAGTGATGTGAAGTACGTATAAAAAAAAACTAAAGAAGATGAGAGGAGAGCGATATACAAATATGGTAGTTCCAAAAATATATCAGGGTGTGGACCATGACTAAAAGTTTCGCATTCAGCAAATAAAATGAAGAATTTATTAGCTGATTTACATTTTCTGTAGAAAGGAGAGTAAAGAATGTGAGGAAAATGTACCAGTGTTGTTCAAAAGTACCTCTCATAGTTAACTGTACAATAAGAGAAAAGTAACGGTATTCGCAAAATTATGAGGGATGCACGTGTAGCATTTATAAAGCCAAAGACTTTGTAAATCCTGAATTATTCTACAATATACTCTGTAGGTGGTATGGCTTAGTGAATAAATCCGCTTCATGACAACTTCTCGCTAGGTGTATATTTGTTCTGGAATTTAGCTCATCTTGTTTTCACCTCATAAAGCGCAGACTTTCTTTATAACAGTCTGATTTATTACAAACACCAAATATTTATAGTGTTATTTTCTAACTTACTATTTATATTTTCTTTTCTTGAAATAAACTTCTCAAGATAATCCTACGCCGATTCATACGCCAGTACGTTCTGCCATACCAATCTCACGTTTACCAGAACATGTAGCTATGCTCAAACGTGACAGTGGGATAGCTATATCAGATGAATATGAAAGTATTGAAACACGTACAGATTTAACCTGGAAACATGCTAACTTGGAGGAGAACAGACCGAAAAATCGCTATGCTAATGTGATTGCCTATGATCAGTCACGTGTCATTTTAAGTGAAATAGGTCACGTCCCTGGTTCTGACTACATTAATGCGAATTTCATTGATGGATATCAAAAGAAAAATGCTTATATCGCAACTCAGGTCAGTGCTGATTTCTCTGTTTTGGTAAAAACTTGCTTGAATAACGAATAATAGAACAAGTTGAGCAGACATATATGCATAATAAGCATATGATTATTTTTTCAGGCTGGAAAGCCATGTAAAGACAGATAAATCGTTCAGTGTTTTTTTGTTATATTTGGACTTTAATGATGTATAATTCTAACATAGAGATATGTTGACTTAGCTTTGAAATGTTGTTCATGTTAGCTATTCACTTCTTAAATTCTAACTTATATCACCTGGGTTCATTGGAAAATATCAATATTCTCAGAGAGAGTAGCATTTCATTAAATAATGCTTTGATGGAATAAATTTGTTTTTTGTGTCTGTCCTCAATTTATCACATATCTTGAGATGTAACAGTTTCTAAAGCTCCTACTTTACCTCTCGATCATTCTGAAATTAACCAATAAGCCAACATACAAAACCAATTAAAACTTTTAGGAAATTAGTTTAAAGGAGACACACAATAGTGTTTCAAGGAGGAATTTAAAACTCCTTAGTAGATATTCAGTGGAACCATAACAGGTCGCTATTCGGGAATATAAACCATCCGATTTTTATCAACAGAAGAATGAGGTGTATGTGAACAGGATTCCTTTGGAAGCTAAATTCCATGAAAAAAGTACCACTGTTTACTGAAACTTAAATTAAGAGTACAAACGTTTCTTGAATAAAATTCGCTTAAAAATGAATCCCTGTAGAATCCAAATATTTCAAAGGTAACTAATAACACAACTATGTCCAAGTATTCTGGTAAAGTAACTCCGTTTAGAGCGAAAAAAGGCATTTAATTTCTGTAACAAATGAATGACCATAAAAGCAACAATGAACGTGGATGGTTGCTAGCAAATCGGAGAAAGGTTACCTGGTACTGTGATGCAGATTTAAGTGAGTAACAATATGCTACTCTTTTCTAAACACAAGACAACTGGAATTTTTCGTAAACTACTGTATTTTAAACATAATGTCAAAAAATTTCAGTTTTACACAGTGACATATCTACGATGTATTCACCAATAGATATTACAGACTGTATTAGTTGCGTGTTTTGTTTCATTACCCAACGAATGTCAGGCTCAATTCCATACTGTTGTATTGATTTGAAGGAACAAAGTATAAATGTTCCCATATGGAATAAATGGGCAGTTGTTTATTTGCCAAGTTCTAAAATTGACATCTTGGAGGCTGAAAGCTGATCGACATAAAAAGCAGAATGTTGAGTTAGTAATAATCATTTTTATGATGTCAAAAATCTTGCGTGAATAAGGCTTTATCGCATACTTTCAATCATGAACATTAGTCTCTGAAAAAATCTATTCTTTGTATTTCCACTTATTTAGGGCCCATTGCCAGGAACATTTTATGATTTTTGGCGAATGGTTTGGGAACAAAATAGCCGTGTGATTGTAATGATGACACGTCTTGAAGAACGGGCACGCATAAAATGCGACCAGTACTGGCCTAATAGGGGAAGAGAAATATTCACTTACCAACAGCAGCAACAATGTCAACAACAAGAACATAATACTAAAACAAATTATAATATTAATTATGCCTCAGTGCCTACATATACTGTTATTACGAAAGATATACAGGAATTTGCATATTATACATTACGTACATTTACTTTACAACGCAATAATGAGACTAATTTGGTTGATCCTGAATCCAGTGGTTTGAATCAACATCATCGTATTACCGATCCAAATTCCAGTATTGAAGAAAGAGAGATTAAACAGTTTCAATTCACAGCATGGCCTGACTATGGCACACCAGATTACCCTCAACCATTATTATTGTTTATACGACGTGTCAGCCAAATACGTTCTCATCTCATCCATCAGATGCAGCAAGAACGTTTAATCAACGATGAGAAACATAACTCAAGAGATTTAAAATTAACACAACCGAATGATACCCGTAACTCTTTGAACTTAAATTTATCTGATGAAATTGGACCATTAATTGTACATTGTTCAGCTGGAGTTGGACGCACAGGTAATAACCGTTTCTTTCTTTTCTAGATTTTCCACCCTGTTGTAATTATTTTATCATGCATTTAACGCAGTGTATAATTTTGGGTCGTAAATTATTCTATTAGCTAAGCAGTTAATGATTTTGCATTTGAAAAATAGTGAAAACTTTATCGTAGTTTTTAAAATGAACTCATATTGGACTTATTAAACGACCTACACTGCTACTGGATACGCGGAAAAATTAATTCAGCTTACTGACAAGTGGAAAGTTGAGTTGTCAGTGAACTCATTTCATAGGTTAATAAAAATACGATTTTCTAACTAGGAAATCAGACACCACTTAATGGCTTTCATCAGTCCTTATTAGTTAGGCCTGATTTCAGCTGTGATTGAACTAGTACAGAGAAAATAAAGTAAAATAATACGAAATGAGTTGCAAGAGAAAAATAAGTGTATAAGGAAAGCAAATCGTATTATGAAGAAATAAGTCTTATTACATGAACTACAAACATTTAGCCATCCGTCCCATTATAATAAACACGCTAACCTTTTGTCTAGTGAATTCGCTTTTTCATGGCATTTTCGTAATAACTGATAATTTGTAAGAGTATACGGAATAACCTCATTGAAACTTTTAATAGAGAGGACCCATTCTGTAGATTTCCCTATTGAAGACGCGCCCACCGTGGTTCAGCGTGCTGCTGAAGTGTCCCAAACTAGGATGAAACAGCTGCCCATTACTTCCAGGTTTTAATTTATTAGTCTTCTTTAGATTAAATTAATTTCAAGTATTCTTGAAAGCATAGTTATAACACTTTTTTATCACTTCTGAGCATTTTGAACCTTATTCAAAATGTAACCCATGTTATTGCCAAAACAATAAGTCTGCACAATCAAGCCATTTCACAAAAGTCGTACTACCAGTTGAATTTACCTATCCGAAAGGTATTCAGTGATGTACTAATCGCCAATACAATATGTTATATATATATATATATATATATATATATATAGAAACGGTAAGCACATGGAAGGATAAGCTGTATAGAAACAGATTCCCACCAGTTTGAAACATTGTGTTTGTAAAGTGCTGTAGTTCAGCTATTCCTTAACAGTTTGTCTTACCGTTATTTTCACTACAATAACATTTTCAGGTGCATTTATTGTCATTGATTCACAACTCGAACGACTCAAGCATGAGAATTCCGTCGATATTTTCGGTGCAGTGTGTCGAATGCGAGCTCAAAGGAATTTTATGGTTCAAACAGAAGAACAGTATGCATTTCTGTATGATGTTTTCGTAGAAGCAGCTGAAGTACATGGCACTGAAGTTACAGCACACGGACTATATAATCATGTTGTAAAACTTCGTCAACCTGTTCCGACTTGTGTATTAGCACGCTATAATTTGCTACCCAATGGTTTACAAGAGGAATATATTAACAGTATTAATACAAATAACAATCAGTTGGCATCATCGATAAAAATTTCAAGTTTAGAACTGGAATTTAAGGTGAGTGGTAGATATTCATATGCCTGTAGTATGAAAGATCTGAACCATGTTTCATATTTTACATATATCAAGATCATAGATACTACTAGGGCGTAGAAATAGTTTTAGCTCAAAGTCTGACTAAATCATTTTGCAGTTTTAAAAAAATCCCAGAGTGTTTAGAGAAGCCTATCTAGGTTTTTCTAATCGTTTTACTGTGTAAAACACAGCTTTTTCAGAAGAATTATTCAAATTTTACCAAAGATTACCACCAAGCATACCTAGCCAGTGTGCAAAAATACTCAGTCACAAAATTTTAATTAGCTCTGCTAAAGAAGCTATGGCTTACGTAGCTCAAATTTCAGATATGAGTTTCTTAAACACTCTAACATTATCTTAAATTACTTCATTACGGCTTTGCTGTTAGTTTTCACCTGAATTAACTTGTCTAGTGATATCTCCTAAAGTGATAAAGATACGATCTTCCAAAGATGTGTCATATTGAGTAGACTTGCGGATGAGATTTCCTTATGTGAGACAGCAGCAGTCGAATCTAATTCTTATATTTCCAGTCATCTAATGCAAATAACTTTTGCTGTGCAGAATACTACATACATTTTAAATGGGTTAAATTATGGGCGTTTATGTAACTGAAGAAACCGTAAAACATTTATTGGATCCATTTTACTTTTGCAGGTATAGTGATTTTTAATTCTAATACTGTACGATATTGCAAAGAATATGAAACTGCGGAGAATAAGACGTTGGATGAGAACTATACATAGTTACAGTCACAGCTTAATCGAAGTCTTGACCGATCTTTTTTATTTTCTGCAAGAGTCAAAAGAATGTTGTAAAATGTATTTCTGTTTATAGCTAGAATACTTCCTGAAGTGCTTTATTTCGAAACCTACCCTGGGCTCTTTTCGTGTTATGTGAATACCAGTTTTACTTTTCACTGGATACTCATGTTTTGACCACCTAAATACAAGCTCTAAAGAAATGAAAATAACTTTCTATTATTCTGGGTTTCAACATCGTTAAATTAACCTCCATTTCAGATCACCACTACGAACCACTAACTGAAGCATTTCTCAATTTACAGAATGCACAGGTTGTCAAATCATGAATAAATTGAGAGATAACTTGATTTGTTGCAAGATATTTTGTTCAAACTATCCAAACTCTTCGCCTTCTATCACAGCCAGTATGTAAGGGTGTAATCATTTGAGTTTGTCGCATAACTCATAGAATTGGTTTTTGGGCCACTTGTATTATGCTATGCTATCGAATAGATGAAAGAACAATTGATAGTTTGTAACTATTTATTTGCATCTATTTTGATGAGGTGAAGTCAGATGAAAATCACTTAATATCACTGCTAACTCAACTATAAATCAGTCATTCAATTAAAAAGTGCCGAATTGACGGACAGTTCTTTCATTTAAAATGTCAGTGTTTAATTTAACACAGAATCAACTTAATGAGTTTTTTCACATTAATTTTTAGAGATTAAATCGTAATTTACTGAACAAGCGCCAAATATCTACAGCATTAACAAACGAAAATCGAATGAAAAATCGTGATGGAGACGTACTGCCTTATGAATCCAATCGTGTGTGTTTACCAGTAATACGTGGAATAACTGGGTCAGACTATATCAATGCTAGTTATATTGACGGATATCGTAAGAACCGGGCTTATATTGCAACGCAGACGCCTCTACCAAGTACAGTCGATGACTTCTGGAGATTAATCTGGGAATGCAATTCACCCATTATAGTGGCATTTTGTGACAATCGAGAAGCTAACTTAGTACCAGCAGACGTTAATCAGTACTGGCCAAGTAACAGGTCAACAAGATATCAGAAAATAATGGTTGAGCCTATGGTTGAGTATAATATGCCACATTTCATACTACGTGAATTTAGACTCACTGATACAACAGATGGTCAATCACGAACTTTACGACAATTTCAACTCCATGGATGGCCAAACGACAGCATAGTACCGAAATCAGCCGAAGCAATTATTGATTTGATTGGACAAGTACATAAAACTCAAACTCAGTTTGGACAAGATGGTCCTATAACTGTACATTGCAAGTAAGTAGCTTTGCATTATTTTACACATTTAGCTTTTTAAAATTTATGCTTATTTTTTCTGCTAGCAAAGTCCTACTGGGTTTTCTAATAGCAACATAAAATGCAGTTCAAACTGATCTTAGGAGCCCTGTAAATTCTCAAAAACTTTCATGTAAATGAAACGTTTTTGTCGAAGTAGAACCTGTCGATTGTTTTAGATTATTAATTATGGAGTAATAAATCATGAATGAAATATCATCATTATGTGGAATTAACTTGTAATGTTGGCTTAGGAAGAAAATTATCAGTCACCTTATGATTGTTAGAATTTCATATAACTTTCAAGTTTTCGAATTGTCGTGGTTCAGCAGTTAAATCGGGCTAACAGATTTGACCACGGGTTGCAGGATCATCTAGTCAATGTTATATCTAGTCAAATATTATAGCCATATGCTAAAAGCCATTAATGTGCACATCCGATAACGTCATACACTTTAGTGTTTTAGCTTTTAACTATTGCCAGTCAACTCCTCAAGAGTCAGTAACATTGGTTGTACTGCAGTTGGTTACTACCAAAGAATTTTGTGAAAATATTTAAAGAAAAATCATACTACAGTAATTTAAAATGGGACTCAATGTGTTAAAATATGTGCTAATTTCCGAATTACCGTTTATGCATTTAGAAAAAAGATTGAGCGAAGAAAAACATTCCTTTTTAATTTTTATTTTGATTATAGCCTGATTTCACAGGCTTTTTTTGGTACAAGCATGGGATTTTCAGCATGTGATATCAGTAGCCCAAATTTTGCAGGCTAACCATTGATATCAGGTGTGCGTCGGCAGAGGATCGAACCCGGACCATGTGCATGGTCGGCGAGCGTCATAACCGCTGTGCCACCAACTCACAGACACAATTAGTTCCTCGTCATCAGCTCTACACTAATATATAGTTTTTTAGCAGTCAAATGTCCATTTTAGTTAATCAGTCTTAGGTATAGAGGGGAGGTGAAATTAAGATGTTAAAAGTCATCAAAACAAATAACTAATACACGTTGGTAACAAGATATCTAAGTTCTAAAAGAGCGTTGAAAATTAATTACAGAATTCAAAATAATTTGGTTCTTAGGCGTCGGCAACAAGTCGTTATATAATCCAGAAATTTGCAAAATAGCAATGATGACTAAGAAAAATAGGATGACTTAGAAGAGTTACGTAAAATACAAACAAGTTAACAGAATGAGCTAGAATTGTAAAAATTAACGAAGTCAAAAGATATTTACAAGGGAAGGGGAAATTGTTCACAAAAACTTAATACATGTTATGTAGTTGACCATGGCAAAGAAATGGGCTGTACACATTTCTTTTGACAGCATAGATGAATTCCGATTGCCTCTGCTCTATGTTAAAGTCGTATTCGTTTACCACGCGAGAGGTTAGGTAATACACGATAATTAACTTTAAAAGCTTTGTTAGATTTGATGTCCCGTATCAACGGGACGATTAACCGATTAACTAAAATAACCATTTGACTGGTAAAACTTTTTGATGTAAATAACTATATATTAGTGTAGAGCCAATGACGAGGAGCTAATTGAAAAAGAATATATTTCTCCGCTCAATCTGTTGTTTTTTCTAAATATGTGGTAATGTTTTTTGTCCAATTCTGAGTGGTGCTGACTAATTTTAATCAGTTGAGCTTGTAATATGTTCTCTAAGCTAGAAAATTCAATATCTCAGTGCACTTTGACCGTGTAACAATAGTTCACATGTAATTGACAGCAAGCCTCGAAACTAGGATTCACGCTTATGGGCACTCATCACAAAAGTGTGTGTGCAGTCTCGAAAGAATTGGTATCCCATTCAAAAGTAATGACCCCAACAACAGCACTGGCTGAATCTACAAGGAAATATCATTTCCTTCAAGTTAGCAAATAAACCTTGCTTATGAGTACTTATAAGGATGGAATTTAGTTTCAAGGCTTTCTGTCACGTCTTTAATCATCTAATAAATAGTGAATATGTGATAAATGTAAGGTCACAGCAGTTTTTTTCTTTTTGAAAGTTTTCAAGTAATCCATCATATTTATTCAAATAACAGAAATTGACCTACTGTGCATTTGATATCTCAATATCAGTTAATTACTATAATTTTCATTACTGATTAATTTACTTCCTAATCATTTTGTTCTGCATATATTAATAGTTCTGGGTCGGGAAGAACTGGTGTATTTATATGCTTAAGTCTTTTATTAGACAGGATGAGGTGTGAAGGTATGGTTGACATGTTTTTAATTACACGTATGCTACGTACACAACGAATAAATACCATACAGACATCTGATCAATATGCATTCTGCTATGCAGCTACTCTTGAATATTTAGCTTCGTTTGACCATTACATGAGTTAATAATTACACATATATAGTCGTGTTCAGCTTCACAGTCACAAATTATAATTTGCAATTCCAACTCTCTGTAAATACTTTCTTTCTTAAACGTTGTGCATATGCTGTTAGACAGTTTAAAAATTGCAAATATGATGTTATGAAACAGAAGGACAATAAGAAAATGCATTTATCACCTGAAACCAATTGAACAGAATTTTGTATTGAGAATTTTTTCCGTTTATTGTGAAAAAAAACTGGAATCAGCAAGTCTTCATTTTAAAAAGAATTATACACAATACACTTATATTTATTTACCTATTTATTTATATATACACACATATGTATTTATCATTGATATGTAAATTAATTACTTTCCCTGGATGGAATATGCATTTTAACTTTTCCGGATTTCTAAATTTTGTGATATAAACTTGTTGGTTTTGTCCAGTCTTCGCTTTCCTTGAAAATTTGTCTTTTTACACATACCAGAAAGTTTCTTTTTGTATTTTTCCACTTTTACTTCTTGTTCTTGTTTCTTCTTTGTGTTTTCAAAGAATTAGGCCTAATGAAACTAATACTATGATAATGTATGCACCATTTTCAGAAATAATATGCATGTGTACAAGTCTATTCATATAAATGAATAATTAAATTTTGTCTGTTCCCTAGTAGAATTCACATATAAGTGTACTGATAACTGCTAATCGTAAAATCTAAAAATATGATTTTTGTACCACTTCAAGTTTGTCAGACAAATAAATATAATGCATTCCACATAGTGTTGGTGTCTTCAGTGGAAGCTCATTGCATTTTCGATGGCATTTATTATATTATATTATGTTTTTATCACTTTATCATACAACAAAGCTGATATACCTGCTTACCATTCGAATTATCTAAGCATAAAATTGTTTAATAGAGAAAATTTTGGAAAAAAAACATTCAAAAAAGGTGCATACTCGCTTGTGAGGTATGATGTGACATGCCTGAAAGTAGCAGTCATTAAACATAATTCTCACAGGACGTAACAGTTTAAATAACACCTCGCCAATAGAAAGGTTTTACACTAATTTTTTCCCAGTGAATTAGGAAATTTTTAGGAGGGAAAAAAGCTAATCAGAATAAGGGTGTATTCATCTATCCAAACGTTTCACTCAGGTCTTCCTGGCAGATCCAAGAACCTTACTGAAAGTTGTTTACAGAAATACTAAGCCCAGCCTCTTTTTATTATCCATTTCAATCGAATATCTTTTCTACTGAATTGAAATATTCCTCAAATGACAGTTGTAACGAATTTCTTGTAAATCTTCAATTCATGGATCCGTTTTCAATGTAGTGAAACGAAAACTTTGTCACACACACACACACACACACATAACCAAATCCTAAACTTCTACCAAAACATCGACTGTTATTTGTTGAATAGCATTTGAATGAGCTGTGCATTCCTTCACACATGAGGTAATGTATTATTGTGCGGGAAATTTATCTCAGTTACTCAGACACTGACTATTTCTGTATTTTAGCAATTTTTCTAGTATCTCTAGTAAACAGATCCCCCCTCTATTCCAAGGGATTTCTCAAAGAAGTTTCAAATGTAAAGTTTATCGACTAGCCCTCCTAGATCATATTTTTAAGAATACAGTGGACTTGTCATTCAGTGTGTTTTAAAATTGATTCAAGGATCACTTATCGCTAAAGGTAGTGATTTAAAATGAAGAGCAAACCAGATTTGCGGTGGGCTCCAAGACAATGGGTTTTGAGTCTACAATAATATCTCCCAATATTACTAGTTTTTAGCAGATTTTATTCGTTAGAGATGTTGAAAACTACAATCTAGTGGTATAATCATTAGTCAGCATTAGAGTTATGTAGCCACTTTTTTATAAGTCCATCACACGTTACGTGGTTTCGAAAAGCAAATTTTTTTAAAAGAAAAGATCTGGCAAACAGATCTGATAGCATTCAAAACAGCAAAGAAAAACTGGACGGAATTTCAAGTCACATTTTAAAGTGAACTCTTTATCAAAAGTGGACTTATCCCCTAATACTGATTTTGTGTAAGGATGCCACATCCTTCTTAGTACATTAATATATCAAAAATCCCGGTGATAACTTTGTACTGATTATTTGAAACCACTTGGTTACACTTTGGTATAAAGAATACAGACCAAGCCTTTCGAAGATATATAGACTAACCGACTTTTGGTTCAGCCATATAGTTATTTGTTTGTAACCGAGTGGAAGAAGAAAATTGAACACCACCTTCATCCTGTTCTCTGCAGTCATTTTTAGCTGCTGCCTGGATGAATGAAAGGCGTAACTTCGTTTAGATTGCTCCCACTGATGATGATGCGTACTTTTTTATTGGTTTAGTATCTTCATCACAACTGTCTTCTCCATATTCGCTCAATGTCCAGCCTTCATTGCATCTTCTGCCACTTTGTTGGTTTTCACCTAGAGATTTTCGAATTTGTGCAACATCAGATATCAACCATCCACGAGGTAGAGACTTTCCAGTGTCTTCTTTTTGATTCGAAGTATGCTCGTCTCAGTTCCCGCAACTTCAAAGGTGATCCCGTTCTCCGCAGTCAGCAGTATCCTCTGTGGTAGTAGGCAGCCTTGTCTCGCTCCAGCTTTCACTTCAAGTGCTTCTCTGAGCAGTTCGCTGTAGATCAATTTGCATGTGGAGGCATCATTTAGGAAAGCTTAGGACACTACACTGCACGATATTGAAGCGGGTTCAAAATTGCTTCGCGGTCGACTCTGTTGAAGGCCTGTTCTAGGCCAATGTAATTGCAGCACAGACTACCACACTCTATCTGATGCTGAGGTGTAGTGTTGCAATCTGAACAGCAGGCCAATTGTTTTTCCACTATCCTAACCGTTCCTTGCAGAGTGTCCCATCGTGAATATTGTAACTTCCTTACCTTTTCAGCTGAATCTTGCTTTCAATTTTCCACAGCGAACTGGTTGCTTCTGAATAGGAGCCATCAGTGCTGTTGGTGACATTATGAATGACATGCTTTACGCTCATATTTGTCTTCCGGGTTAGTGGAATTGGTTACTGACTCTTCATCTAACAATCCTGGAGAGTCCATTTCCACTCCACCTGCTCTCCATATTCCTGACACTTTTGTACCGTATCTCCTCATTCCATCTACAATCTGACCAGCCTTGCCAACCTCAAATATGTGGTGGACATTTTAACGCCACAAACATACTCTTACTTTCACTGAAATAATACACTGGCTAACTGATTTCTTGAACCTTTTCACCAGTCGGCGTCATCTGTCCGCATCAGATGATAATTTTTTTCTGAGCTCTGAATCCTCCTTGGCTATAAGATTACATCACACGGAGTTTGACTTCCAGCCCTATACTCAACGCTCTCTCCTTCTTGAGCTTAGGACCGTCCAGTAAACCTAATGGTTTCCCCTTTTTGGTATAGGGAGCACAGCTAAGCCGAAGTATTTAAAATGGCTTCCAATAAAGTAGGAAAAAGTGTTTTCAAATATTTTCCAGTCCTAATTTTTATGGTTTTTATACCCACATGTGTTTAAACAGTTCATAATATGACAGGAAAAATGTTCATATCAAAGGACTTTAAGAGTAATGTGATCGTGCGAATTCTTATGATTCGAATCTCTGGGTATCAGTCAAGCCAATGAACTGTCTATTTGTGATTTCAATTTGTTCATAAGTATATATGTCCCCAAAAATACTTGTTGATGGGCTTCTAGATACACTGATGAATGCTTTGTTCAGTCATGGAAAGTGTGCAGAGGATGCTGTTTCTGTGAAAATCTAAATCAAACTAAAGATAGTACGAAGATCGACCTGCTAGGCAACTTCAGGTTATCCTGTGACCGGAAATCTATCTAAAAATGCTAGGCAGGGGGCATATCAAAATTCAGTGTTTCCAGCATAAACCTGAAATCCGACCTTAACCTTGAGTGGAACTCATGTAGCTGGACTTTTATCACTTAATGCTATCCAGTCCAAATATGTTTTTATGCATGAAACTAATAATTTGCTTGTCACGTGAAATAACTACAAAATTAGCTGCATTTTCTAGTCGCCTTTTCACCGGGTCAATAAATTTTCGCCTTCTCAGTTTTTCTTCTGTGCCATTCACAATGTGGAAATGGTAGTGAAGTCATCAGTCACATACCGTCGTTCATTGAAGTAATATTAAAAATATTCCACATCCATTATTATTGTGGACACAACATGAATCCTTTAATGCAAGTTTCATTTTAGGCAGCCAACTTTCTGTTCTTGTCTGCTTGGTGTAAGCTAATTTACGCTTACCGGAAATCCCTGTTGTATCGGACATACTTCTTGAGTGCTTTGCCATAACCTCCACTTTTATTTTCAGTCTCGTGAGTTGTGGTGTTTTCTCTGGGTAAATGCGGCTTGCTGCAACTCCTTCTAGATCTTTACTTATGACTTGATTTTACAGCTCTAGCTAACATCTGAGTATTACAACCTGTCTCGGAACCGACTATTTATTAAACAGTGTAACCCATATCTCCTTAACAAGATGTAAAACAGTCATTTGAACAGGAACTTATAAGATGCGAAGCCTATCTCAGAGGAATTATAACAGAAGTATTGATAGCGAAAATATAGTGGATTTTCGCAAGTTTTGAATTCTTAGCTCAAGAGGTATGAGAAAACAGAAGACACAAAGAGCAAATCTTTACCCGCAACTTGCGCCACTTACGTAACAGTTCATCTTTAACTCGTGGCAACTACAAGAATTCAGGGTCAGTACTCACCGGGGCTGTCACACTAATGAGAAGGATGGAATCTCTTCATGGTTAAGTTATGCACTGAGGCATTAAAATCTGCCTATTCTATAAACCTAATTTTGTTATGTTTATTATCCGTCCATCATCAAGTGCAATCTCTTTTCAAAATCATCAGCACCAAACTGAAATGTTAGCGAAAACGTAATGTTGAGGTCAAAAGGCCGATGCCAGAAATTTATCAGGGGGAAGCAAGTACCACTTTTATTCATATTTCTTCAAATCATCTAATTATCACAGCGGTTTACTAGCAAGTTGTTGTAGCTATGATTCAGCCTGGACTTAATACGCCCTGTTTGAACGAGCGCTACTTGGACAAGAGTAAAAACGAAGAATTCTTGATACAACGAGCCAAAAACGGCAGCATAAACTCATGTAGATGTAATTTCATGGGTCTATCTTCTAGACATGCAGCCTGGATATGAATTTCAAACCTCGTTTACTGTCAGACCAGCGAAAACACTGAAGGCGTCCAAATTGACACCTCGAAAAATTTCTGCGGTCCATAATTTTTGTGTCAGATATCTAAACAAAATGTTGCTTGTGTCACTATTTGAGCGTCACGATACTACCATTAGCGTCGTTACTAGAGCGTGATATAAAACCACTCAACTGTATTAGGAGGTTTGGTTTCAAAATCCTTCCTGAACAATATACTTACGGCACTGATATTCACCTGAATGCTTCCATCGATTCTGCAGTTATTATTTACCACTCATTACCACAATCACACTTAAGATATCTTCTTTCAAAACAATCTCTAATGTCTTCTGAAATTGATAGATACCCATTCCTAATGCTTCGTCATGGTATAGTGTGACGCTAGGTCGCTGACGAATAGGTGTTGTTTTTAGTATTTAAGCTTTACCTAGGGAGACTAAGGGTCGCGCCGTAGAGCAGCCGCTTACTCTCAGACTATCTGCGGAAAAAAGGTTTCCCGCTTTAAACTTGCAGACATATTTTTGCCAGCTTAGTTGTAAATATTCTTATTGATCCCTGGATATCTTACTGTAGTGTTTGTCTACCGGCAGTATTGAGGTGGTGTTATATATTTAAGCACGACAGTTGCGAACTCTTTGTCTAAATGCGCATATTTGTTAACAATGATGAGTTACGCCCAACCATTGTGGTCTTTTTGTTTGGATGCCACGTAAACGGAAAATTGAAGGTTTCCGTTATAATTACGCGATGCATTAGATGAATGAAAGACTTTTCTAGTGCTTTCAACATTTTTAGTTTTTGATTAAACTCCATTTATAACGGTTCGGTTTCGGATTTAGATCTTTGATTGCAGTTGGCCTGTTCGCATCTTCGTCGCAAGTTATCCGAGAAATGTATGCTACGGTGTGGTAATACGTTAGTATCTTGTAGTTTTACTTCGAATCCATCTCTTAATTATTTTCTTGACAGTCTTTGCTTTCTGACATCGTTTTAAGCTCACAGTTTCAAAAAAACACACGATTAGGCACTGAAGTGTGTTTAGAGAAAGGTATTCATGAGGCCCCCTGGAACAGGGTCTTTTCAAATGTCAGAGTTAATGCTGTTGACATGCAAAAAGCGTAATCTGTGGATTTCCGAACGTTTTAAGAGAAAAATGCGCAGCTAGAATGTCGACCAACGGCAATCAACTGACCCGTCAACACTCATGCGCTGCCAGCATACAAAAAGCATATTAATTTTCCTCGCTACTTAGAACCCCCAGAGTGACCACACAATAACTGGGTTTAATGCACCATGAATTAGTGAAGGCGGCAATGCTAAATGTGGGGTTCATATGTCAGGATGGAATGAAGTCCCCGCACATCTGTTTTTAAAAAACCTTTTGTACGCACCAGCACAAGCCTCACTAGATTATCTTCATTTCTGCGAAATGCCTCGATAAACACCCTTTCCCATTCAATGAGATTATCGATTTCTAGAGACAGGAACACTTGGACTTTCTTTCACAAACTTTCTAAGCCTATGAAACCACACGTGATAAACCCGTTGCAACTGGATGTGCTCTGTGTTGTGTGTGCAAGAACTAATTCACTCCTTCTATCACATTCCGCTGGAACGAATGAATAATCAGAAATATTTGTTTCGAAAAAATAAGCAGAGTGTCTTCACTAGAGCGAGATGACCATGTTGCTTATGCTGCACACTCAAAACCAGATGACCAGAAATGACTAGAAAAAAAAGGGACTCTGGCAAGGAACTCATAAAGAACCTTTTTCTCGACAAATATACCAAAGAAAATAGGGATTGATCGGACTTACGCCGAGAAGATCACTGAGTGACATTGCGCACCAGATTCTTGAGTGAAATCCGAATGAGAAACGCGCCGAATATTCGGGATTGAGGGCAGTCGTAGGGTCAGGCATTGAGAACTTCAACGAACAAAGTGAAATGGAAGTGTGTTGTTACAGCCCTAAATTCCACTTTTGACCTGAAGGAACCACCTTCTAAAGATCAAGGGTATTAATTTGCTCTGAATTTAGCCCCGAGAAGAACCAAAAGAGGATGATTGAATTTGATTAGCTGTCATTAGTTGTTTTTTAACTTAAAAAACCCATATTACTTTGATAATTTAATACGCTGTCACAGCATAAATCTAAATTAGTTCCACTTCATTTTCCAGAAAACTACACCTAACAGTTCAGAACAACTGATACCAGGCAAAACCAGCTACCTCACACTCGGCTCACTGAGAGGAGTGACATCGTTCACTGACCCGATTTGGCCCATATGGGCCTACTCATTTTCCGGTTTCTTACGCCGCCCACCAGCCTTATGTGCAACAACTAACCCTAATGGGCTATTAGTTTGTTGTCAAATGATCAACCAAGGACTGAGGTGATGGCTGGACAAAATCATTAGAAGCTTGAAACAGAAACTTATCCCTGATTTTCTCAAACGTCAAATGTCTGTCACTCATTACTAGCAGTCAATTGTGGGAACTTTCTTATTCTAGGTGTACTAACTACTCTCCTGGGTTCTTTTTCAATTTCCCAGGGGAACATTCTCACCTAAGACTTACATCTTTTATGAGTTCCATATTTTCTGAGAAGCTCAGCAACTTCAGCCAGGATTTTGAGTACACATATCCAGCAATGACTCGTGATGCTAAGTCGGCGGAATTTTCACACAACGGGTGTCAGGTGATAGCCCCAGCTACTTGACTAGCCCAAAATGTCCTGGCGCAGACTTCTGTTTCGAACAAAGTTCGGTATGGAAATAAACTTCGACGAAATTCGCCCTGTGAATGGTATGCAACTACCCACTTCAGCCAATCAGTTGAATATGGAGACGTTACCTAGCACAAGCACTGAGAGAATTCTGTACTCTAAATGGTTCCAGCGGCTCATTTAAGGGGTACCTTCCAAAGAGTTGAGATACTCCTTTGAGGAGCACGGATATGGACAAGTGCATCAGATTGGTACTATAACGTGTACGCAATCACGCTCATTTCTTCAGGATGATGAAATGAAGGTTTCTAGGGCGCTAAAATTTTTGGAAACTTCAGGCCGGCGATAGACTAGATATAGATCAGAGGGATGTCTTCAACCTTGAGGAATACAGAGCGGTTGAAGTACGCACCACCAGAGGCAGAGAGTAACTTACTACCTTTTAGGCGACGGCTTACACCGTGCATGATCGGGGTTAAATTTGGGTCATCCTCTAATGGAAAAACTAAGAAAAAATGGTGAATTACCTAAGTTTTTGTACTTTGGCCACCTTTTTCAGAATATAAAATGCACTCTAGACTTCCCTGTGAGGTGTATACTATCATCGTCTCATCAATCTCTTTGTTCTCCTCCATTTTGGGTTTAAACATATTTGCAGGATATGTTCACTTAATATTTTCACTGCAATAACGTCATGACAAGATACGTCATAACTGCTCACATTAAGACCAACAAATCACTAACGTCACCCACAAATTCTCTAGGGAGGGGCAGACAAAACGTACTATTGGTAATAAGGTGGGAAGAACTATACAGGAGCCCACTGACAATTAGATGTCATCAAAATACTGCCAGGAATCCAGCTAAAAGAAATGACACTCCACACCTGATATCAACGGCTGGCCTGCGAAATTTTAGCCAACGATATCACATGCAGAAAATTCCATACTTCTGTAAAAAATACTGTGGTCTTTAACTATAATAAAAAAATTGGATATTGAGCATTAGGCGGAGGTTCTGAATGGGCCGTTACGTTGATGTATTCCGGTCATACAGATTTCGTGTTTAATGGCGTTTTGAACAAGGAATGGGTGTGGAAAGGTATTAAAAATGCATCGCCTTAATAAAAAAATAGATAATCTGTTTTACTTTCACTCTCTCAAATTAAAAACAGAGTTTTGTTATCACAATGGTTGTGTAGGATATTTTACCTTAAAGAATTATTGGTCATCTTAAACTTTAGGTTAATACCATTTGTTGGGATGACCGTGGTGAATACATTTTATCGGGGTCAGACGATAGATGTATTGCGATTGCGAGCGCATTTGCACAGGTTTTTTCAGTCTTATCTGTAATCTTCGTTTACTAGGACACCCAGAATGACAACGTATATTCTCTGAAACTACCTGCATATAGTAATATTTTCACAGCAAAGTTTCTTCCATTCTCCGGTGGAAGCGAAGTAGTCCTTATTTTCTAAAAACCTTTTCTAGATAGTTGTTGGCTTCAAATGTGGTTGTGTTGTACACGTCAATCCCAATTCTTCTATTAAGGATAGTTTGAAAAACGTCTTCTGCCATGGCTTTGCTGTATATGACGTAAGTTTTAATGCTGTTTATGTATACAAAATGTTTTTTTCGAGTGTTTGTTATTCGCTCTAAATATCTCGAACCTATGGTTCACGTTTCTAGGCGGAAGTCATTATAGTAATTGTTGTTACCGTCTCTCTTATTGACAGTCAAGTTTCATCATTCAGGTTATTTTCTGACTAAGTTAGATTGGGCAATGTTACAACATGATATTCAAATTTTAGGTCATCAAAATATTTCCATTCTAACTCCTATTTTTGTTAGTCTTCCAGTTCCTTTGATTTTCCTACTACAATTTTCGCTGACTAAAATTTTTCAGTTTAGCTTTTCCCTAAAAATACAATTTAATTATCATTTAATCCTTTGATTGTTTGTTTGCTTCAGAAGTAAAACAAGCATTACTACTTAAAACCTCGACAGTCGCTCAAATTACAAGTGCGAAAAATAAAGGAATTTTGTGTGAAAATTTACTGGAGACCACTGAGTCTGGATATACTCTTAGAGCACTTAAATATCCCATAACCAGTTACTGTTCTGTTGCGGATCACATTTGAGGGTAAATACAGGGCTGTGAGGTAGACACCAGGAGGTTCGCCTATGCAGTGACTGATTATGTCGTGTAGTGAGAGTTAAAACTTCTGCCTTAGTATCCTTCACACTCTGCTGATACACCCACATCTTGTGTAGTGGATATTATTGAGAACGTTTTATTCTCTGAAGCGTCAGGTGTTGCGGTAACTGACGACTTCAAAAGTTGGGAAGCACAACACATGTAAGGCCTCAAAATTTTTTTTCATTCGAACGTTAGTGGTGACCACTTACTGCAGGTGTCTTTCAAGACTTTCGAATGATAATTGGAAAAATTTTCGGATGCGCTTCGCACTATTCGTGCGAATAGGTATGTAGTTTAACAATATTAAACAATCACAGTGGGCAAAGATGTTCCTACATATTTTTCATTTGAGCCATTGTCTCACATTCGTTTATTAGATTTGTTGTCTTTTGCTTATATAATTCCATTGGTCTCCTCATTCCTGTGACTTTTTTCTCGTTCTCTTTTACTTCGTTACAAATATATTTTAGGTGGTAATCTCAGATCCCAGATATTGGGTATTTGACCATGATCCACATATGTCTGTCTGTATGTTTTCGACATAGAACTTTGCACCGATGTGCGGCAGTTCAAGTCGCCACACTCCATATAGCACACAAAGCAAGAGAAGAAAGCAAAAACAAATGCATAACAGAGACAGTAAACAGAAGTGTGGGACAAATGAATAGTAATAACGAAGAACAATATAGTTTCATCGGGTATTATAAGTCACAAGGAGTGGACGTATCTGTGCCAGTCATTGAGAACGATTTTGAGCCATTTCACCAATTGTTTCCAGCCATTGGTTTTTACCGTCCCGAGGACCCCAACTAGGAAGTCTACACCTTCCTACGTGGCTTACACTAACTGTTGTAGATTTCACTGACTGGTGTCATGTTTCTTTTGACCTCCACTAGCTTTTTTCCAGCCTGACCCTATATCCGCTAACATTGCTCGTCGAGGAAGGCGATGACTAGGCATACATAACACATGTCCTAACCATATCAGTCTTTGTAACTTCACGACTTCGTCGATTGATTTCCCCTGTTTACCTAGCACTTGATGCCTAACCTCAATATTGCTCACCTTATTATACCACTTCACACGGGAGATAGAACGCAGGCACCTATGATCAAAGACAGCTAATCTTTTCATATCTTCCACTCTCAGTGGCCAGGTCTCACAGCTAGGCATAAAGGAGGACGGAGCGAACTTTTGAGAAGTGCACACGCCCTTTGGTCGATAGTCGGATATCCCGTCTACGCCAGAGACGGCGTAAACTGGCATATGCGAAACTAGCCCTCTATATCCGTACTCAGCTGAGATTTCGTCAGAGATCGACCCGTTGTGGCTGATAGTACTTCCCAAATAAGTGAAGCGGTCAACGTGCTCTACCACTTCACTTCCTGTTTTTAATCTAGCAGTCGGTGTAGTCCAGTCCTGTAGCATCATCTTGCATTTGGTGGGAGCGAATTGCATGCCAAACATTCGTAGATTGCAGCTCAAGGCGTTTAGAAGACTCTGCATTTTGTCAGCGTCCTCGTCATCCACTTATACATTGAACGAATACACTTCGCACTTCTGGTTCTCAGTACATGTCAGGTTTTTTGTTGTTGTTTGAGAGGCCTTTAAAAACTGTACTTATGGTGCACATTGTTGTTATGTTCAGCAGTAGCTTCCCTTAGTTTTGACAAGATTTACGGATCCTTAAAGGAAAGAATGATGGTATTTCCTGTTTTGGGGGTACTCCAGTGGACACTTGCGTACTGTTTCCAAATAACAGCTACATTACAACGACGGGTGTTTCTCTTAAAGTTTAATTCAATAATAGATTAATTTTCCTTGATACCGCAAACGGTGGTACATTCTTATTTATCTACTGTTGTGTAGTCCTATTAGTTCTCATCCGTTGATTCTTTTAGTAACAATACTTCGCACCATTTTTGGCGTTAAACTGTCCTTGTATGTAAACAAAGCCACATGTGACTATAAGCAGTAGATTATGCTTGAAATGTCGTCTGCGAATGAAACGGTAGCAGTATGCTGTATCGGATAAAACTATTCTGTTATGAAGGGGAACTCTACCACCGTCCTCAAATTCTGCTGTTTTTTATAGTTTGCCAAGGTGTTATAATGCTTTCCTTTTCCTTGAAGGTCAACAGTAAAAACTGAATGTATTCTTAGTTTTATAGGTCCCAACCATTCTTCCGAAGTGTTTTTATGTATTTTCTCCCTGCTGTTCACCAAACATCTCTGTATTTTTTCAGATTCTTACAACAAATGAGATGCCCACTTGTTTTATCACACTATCTCATGATCAATCTGTGACAATTCTCGACACGAGAGTTTCGACGACTGTACACGAAAATCAGAGCTGTAGTCGAGGATGCTTTACTCATACAAATTCACCTTGGACCTCAAGGTTTTCTCCTGTCAGTCGTTTGAAGTTCCAGTTTCCAGTGACTGCAGGTGATGTTCATCCGTTAGATGGATGTCGTTCTATCGCATTAGCGACTGCGGATGGCTTTGTACGTCTTCTTGATTTCCGAAAGCTAGTCAACACAAGTAAGTCAAGCTTTCTACTGGTTACCAAAAGTTTCATTTCTGATTTTCTCAAGATGCTTCCCACCTGGTGGTAGAAGGATTAAGATGGGACTTATTAGCTGAAGCACTCAATTTACAGTGATTAGGTCCTGAATTTGAACTCTATTTCACTTTTTTCGACATGCACTGATAAGTATCATCAGCCTTCACACTAAACGTGTGACCCGTAACTTCCTACTTCAAAAACCTGTTCTGTGTAGTCGCTTTCTAATATAACTTAATCAGTTATTCTCCATTTAAAATGGTAAATCTCAAAAGTATCTGTTTAACAATTAACCTGTCATGCATTTTTGAGAAGAGTGTAACAAATAGCGCTCCAAATGGTGAGATTAATTTTGAAATAACCTTTCGTCTATACTAACATATAGATATTTTAGTGTCATCTTTGATTTCCTTACTACAGTAAAACAATCGTTTGAAGTCGTCTGTAGCCAGTGAATTTTGAATCGGTTCATAACGTTATCATTATTGTTCTTCACTTAGTACTCGGATAGTTTCATGGCCACTTTTAGATGTAGACACAAATACACAAGATAATCAACTCTTAATAAATTTATGATTTTAGTTTTCCAACAGTGGTGCCGTCTGCGAAGTGAAAGTAGACACTTATGCACATTGTATATGATCCTCAGTAGGGGTCCAAGAGTCAACAATATCTAAACTAATAAATGTCTGCTAAGATTTTCCCCATCAACAAATCAGTAGAGTTTGTTTGATTGTTTATATGAGTGATATGTTTAACACCAAATTAACCAATTATATGGACTGTTCCACGCTCTTTTCGACCCGAGGGATCTCTACATGGCGGCTCGGCTTGCATTTCATAGTAATCTGAAAAACTTTGTTGGTTGAAACTTAGGTTTCCGTAGGTCCTAGCCTGCCGGAAAAGTTGGCTGATTAGTGTTCGGACTTAAAGCGATTGATATCATAGCTTGATTTGCTTACGCTGTGGGTAGGATCTGAGAACAAAGTTGCACCACTGGTTGATAAAAGTATAATACCGTCCAGGTGTTTTCCCCGGAACAGTGAGCAAACTGCTGTCTTCATATTCTAGGTGGCGGAGATTAAGTAGGGTCGACGGCGAAATGTGCTCATCCGGACCTACCCTACGTCAGTCGGTAGCCTGCAGTAAGTTTGTCCGTGCGGTCAGAATTCCTCAAACCCTAACTGCAAACAGGTTTATAGTTGTTGTCCCTTGGGTTCAGCGGTTATAGAATACTGACTTTTGTCTTAAGGACACGTCAAGAAGAAACCAACTTCCATAGTGTAAACTCCTGGGACGCAGCAACATCTGATATTTTTGTTTTCCTCCAAATGTTATCGTCACTGCTGGCGACGTGAGCAAGGACAGACGTTACTATTCTCTTGAAACTGTTTTTCCAATCTCATAAAGTCTGAGATGTCGGAGACATATGTCAAGGGTGGTAGAGGACCTTATTCGTTGGTACCCTCGCATATTGGACTTTGGATGTATTATGTTGCGACACATAAAAATCCAATTAACCCCATTCGATCAATGCGGTGGATTCATGCAATCCATCCTCCGTATTTCCCGTCTGAAAGTTAGCGTTTAGCTCTATCCGTCAAAAGATTCTCGGCAGTGTTTGGGTATATAGGGAGTGCTGAAAAAATGTTATCCCTATCAAGGCACTCTATTCAAACTCATACACTTTCTGAATTAGTGTTCTTCAGAGATGCCAAATTATACCGTATTTATTTGATTTCGTCGTAGATATACTGATGGATATAACATTGGCCAATATTAATATCTCGGATCGAGCTACGATGAGATTGAGCAGGTGATATTATCTTTTGTGAATAAGATTTTATTTTGATAAATCACACAGTGTTGTTGTACAGTAATATTAACTGATGACGTTTCGAACTCAAATTATTGCTCACAATCATATCAAAATACTCACTCAACTTTTTGCTTCATTTATATGCATGAGTAAAAATTGACTAGACATTTGATGAATACAATCAGCATAACATAATGTATATTCAGAAACAGTATTAGTGTTACCAATAAAATACAATCGGATGAAAAATAAGATGTTTTTATAGTAAAACAAATAAATAACTTGTTAGAATGTTATAATGTGAATTGAATACATTTTAACATTATTTTTCATCATCTAATTTGACTGGTATTAATATCTTGCATATCTCTGGTATTTGCGTTGAGTCATTTATGTTGCATGTAGACTCGATGAACGGGGATTCAGTAATCAACCTCTCTCTCCACCTTCCTATATTACTTTTTAGGATTTTAACTCTGTCCCATCCTATTGTGTGGTTGTGTGTTGATACAAGCAGTGCTATAGCTGAGCTGATCCCACGAAGATAAGTAATTTAGAAAAAAAACCTCAGCCACAGCACTGCATGCAATAACACACAACTACACAATAGGATGGGAAAGAGTCAAAATCCTAAAAAGTAATATAAGAAGGTGGAGAGAGAGGTTGATTACTGAATCCTCGTTCATCGAGTCTACATGCAACATAAATGACTCAACGCAAATACCAGAGATATGCAAGATATTAATACCAGTCAAATTAGATGATGAAAAATAATGTTAAAATGTATTCAATTCACATTATAACATTCTAACAAGTTATTTATTTGTTTTACTATAAAAACATCTTATTTTTCATCCGATTGTATTTTATTGGTAACACTAATACTGTTTCTGAATATACATTATGTTATGCTGATTGTATTCATCAAATGTCTAGTCAATTTTTACTCATGCATATAAATGAAGCAAAAAGTTGAGTGAGTATTTTGATATGATTGTGAGCAATAATTTGAGTTCGAAACGTCATCAGTTAATATTACTGTACAACAACACTGTGTGATTTATCAAAATAAAATCTTATCCATAATGAAGTTATACTCTACCACAGTGCCCAAGTTTTATGCTTATATCGATATTGTTCTTTTTTGTAATGAATCAGAAGAGTCATGTTTGGGTGACGCGTTCCATATTCACCTACTTCAGGTTGGGCAACTGGTTACTATCACCAGCCTTCATACAGTAAGTGTGGTTCTTACTTGGCAGAAAAAAAATATGTCCCGAGTAACTGAGTTGAGTTAAAATCATCTATGTTTTTAAAGTATACTTTTTTGGTGTTTTTCAGCGTCTTCCACAGCAGCTATGGGGGATTCACCAGTTCCTGTGCCGTTTCGTGTAGCCAGACCTCTTGGTTTACCTGCAAAGTTAAATTCAAACCAAACGTTCCGTTTGGACTATGGACCGTGCCACATTACTTCAGTTAGATTCGAGCCAATTTATGATAGGAATACTGCGCAGTTTTTGTTCCCTACTGGTCGGAGGCAGTCCGCGTTTTCAAATACAGGGGGAAAACATCTACTTGTTAGCCACATGTACTCTCCTGTTTTCTTATATGATATAAATGCAGAAGAATCCGTTGAAGATTCCCAAGTAGCAGTAAGTTGCTTTTTTTCTGTCTTCGGCTAACTCTTTTCGTCATTTATTCGATTCCAAAATTTCTGAATGTTGTCACGGCAACTCGTCTTATTGATACGTCAGTCTTCCTGAAATTGTTAAAGGTGTTATCCAAATGCAAGAATGTTTTACACTGGGCTAATTTCTTTTTTTCTCATTTTATCCCCAACTATATAATACCTAAACATCGAAATGCGTACATTATAAAAGATAAGCACGTTTCTATCAGGCTGATAGCACTTATATACATAAATCTGGTGTTGAAATAAGACGCAAATGGAGTAAACAAAGTACACATGGTTTCGTTATTTCCCACCACGAATTTGCCTAATTTTTTGAATATACTACCATCCTGTAAATATTCATTCTTATTAGTAATTAACTTTTTACTAGAACTGTTTCCATTCCGTCTAACTTTTGTTACGTGCTACTCTTGTAACCGACCCCTCATCGACTTGATGAAAGTATGTATGCATTTTTCAATTTATGTATTTTGATATTCTCTCGGTTGAAAAGAGTCTAAAATGAAGTGATCTCATTTTTCTCAATTACAGTAGTTGTTCATGGGTTGTATAAGTTCACTAAGACATCCTTATAACTTCCCCTAAAAAATAAGTGGTCGTAAGAGCTTTATGTTTTAAACATGTGAAATAGTATCACATTTTCTTGTGTTCTGTTATATTCCCATTCGAGTAGAGCCTACCGACTGGGTAATAACATCAGCTTAGTATTTTTTGTATAAAATCATATCTCGCTTGTTTTAGCTTTGCATTGATTTTCATTCATTATACGAACACAAGCTGGACTTTTCTATCTGTATTGTTACCTTGATTTATAATTAATGCCTAAGATGTTATGCCGCAAGAATATTAGAGGAAGTAGAAATAAAAAATCACTGTCATTACAACCTTTAAAGCAGCTTCATCCCCTTGTTTGATGTACATTAACAATTATAGTCTAACAGCTGGCAGCGACTCCTAACAAGTTTAAGAAGTGGTGACGGGAACACTTTACTCTATCTTAATCTATCTAGAACTGGTTCTATTTGATTCGATACGTAGAAGTGACCAAACTCAATACAGTGCTGCGTTGATTTAACACAAAGCAGAGAGCTCATACTTCTCGCATACTTTTCTTGACAACATCATACTTGATAGATAGCACGAAAAGTTACAAAGTAATATGTTACTCATTGACTTCTAAGAGCATTATTTGTTACATAAGTATGAATCTGCTACTTTAGTTTTGTGTGCATTTTGTGCTTAGTGATACATTGAAAAGGAGGTTACTTCAGTGCGGCAGAAGTGTAGTGTTGCTGTTGTTTTCAACATTGACTAATCACTATTTTGGATATCAAGAGTAACCTTTGCACCAGTAGTTGAACGCCTCATTGTCTCATATCCTTAAATTTAGGTAATTTTAAGCCATCCTGTCGTTCATACACTTGTAAGAAATGTTCACAAATGTACAGTTTATATTCTCGTCGAAGGGTATTAATTTTATATAAACACCTTAGCTTTGTTAATATGACATTAAAAAAAGTGACTTGAGTGAATAAAACCTTCACTGTATTGCCTAACGAATCATCTTTCCAGTAACTGTCTAAATGTTTACACATTTTTCATTTTAGCAACCTGAATGGCTACCGGATAGTGATACATCATCTACTGAATCAGAGTCTCCTGGTTCACCAGAAAGTAAGTTTTGTACTATATCATTTCTCTGATGAATTTTCTGAATGCGATTACTCTTTTACAAATAAGTGGTCACCTCCACATGTATGATATGTTAAGTTTTCATCTCTGTGAATCAAATTCATATTTTGCAAATTAGTTCGCATTTAACACAGTTCTAAGTGACTATTTCACTATAGTTTCTTTTGCGAACTGAGATTGTTCAGATCACAATATGTTATCTGCTTGATACCATAAACGGTAGTCGAGAAACTAAACCTATATGCAGATTCGATTGTATGGGCTCAGCGTGATACAGATAAAATTAATCTGAAGAAATTCCTCTATGGTGTATGTATGACTAAACTCAGACTATTTGTATACAAAAAGTTGTAAGGTATTATTATCAGCGATAGTTGGTATGTTTTTATGGTGTCATATTGATGTCTGAAAAATTTGCTGTTCTCTTTTCAGTGAGTATATATGTGTGCTAAACATAAAACAATATAGTGCAAATTGTGACAAAGATTAAGTGTCTAAGCTATATTTTATAACTTTTGTAGACAGAATTAAGCCTATATTAGGATAAAGATCAATTGGATCAATGTGTCCGTTATGAAACGTTATTCTTTCATCAGCCTCATTTTGATAGGCTATTAAGTGCTTTTTACATTCTATTGTTATATCAGTTTTATCCAGTTACGACTGTGATAGGAATTGTTTTCTGGTAATTTTGGTGTTAACGAAATATATAGATTGAACCAGAATCTAACTATGATTTTGTTGTCATATTTTATGTTGATTAGTTTGATTTATCGGTGTATCTTTGGAAAAGTTAAACTTATGATACAAACTTGAAAACTGAAGAGTTAGTGTTTCGATATTATCATCTAGGTTTGAGAAGGGGTTACTAATCGCAAATTGTATTCCATATTACACTGACTACTTCATATATACCTCATAATCAATGAGATGTCAGAGTTGGCTGTTTCCTACATCTCACTGTACTCTAAAGTTAGGGAGTAATTAAATTAACTCATACAACCTACACTGCTATTTCAAGTTTTACCGTCTGAATAGTGGTTTAAGTCCTTGAAAGTGGAAATTCGTTATTTTTAATTCGTGGGGTTTATTTTAGTTGTTTGAAGTCGTTTTTTCAAAGATTCAGCTTTCTGAATGTCATGCGACTAATGCGGCTAACTAGATTATTTCTTAATGTTCGATGATTCCATACTTAGTTGATTTCCGGAGGTCGGTTTTCATCGGCTATATTATTATTATTATTATTTAAACGCATAAAAAACTTGGTACAATATGGCACCAGGAAAGATGCGCCACACAATAATAATAAAACAACATAGATCAAAAAAAAGGAAGGAAGGACAAGAAAAAATATATATAAGTAGAGAACGGATAAAGAACTTCATCTGGAAGGAAAACAGTCATGCTTAACAAGTTCAAACAGTGTTCGTTAGCTATCATCGGGAAGGGAAGAAAGAAGGAAATCGCAACACATTCGCCACTGATTACGATTCTTGGCCATATCCGATAACGTTTCGAGCCATCGATTTGAGCCATCTCTCGGACCCCAACCAGGGAGTCGTGACACACCAACCGATGCTAATCTAGCACAAAAATCCTTCATCCCACGACGCCACGTCATGGACTGACCACCTCTCCGCCTTTTCCATCCCGTCCCAGGGCTAGCGAACAGAGACCTGTACGGAAGCCTCTGGGGTGACATTCGTAGCACATCTCCAAGCCGCCGAAGCCGGTGTTTCCAGATGACGACATTCAATGAATGGTGATCTCCACTTTGTTCAAACACACGCCGCCAAACCTCAGAATTACTCACGCGATGATGCCATCGAACGCAAGCAATCCTGCGGAGACAGCGGTGATCGAACACGCAGAGTCGCCGCACATCCTCAGCTTACTCGGAGAGGCCAGGTTTCACAGGTGTAGAGCAGCGCAGCCCGCACCGAAGCATTGTATACCCGACCTTTGACAGCCAGGCTAACGTCGCGACGGCGCCATAGGTGGCTCAAGTTCATGTATGCCACCCTAGCCTTCATTATACGGTTGGAAATCTCATCCGTCACCCCTCCGCCAGCACTCACACAACTACCCAGGTACACAAACTTATCAACAACTTCAAGCGGTTCACCCGCAAGAGTGAGTGCAGGTACAGGCTCCTGCCAACCATCATCGGCTATAACTGTTTATCAATAAAAGTCGCTTTCATTCTTTCTAGTTCGGGACTCTTCATCCTTCAGATCTTAACGGGTATTATGTCAAGGATTGTACTGCGTAAAGACCCATTAGTTAACATTTATTCACTCTTAACAAGTCGTTATGTATCACGAGCATCGTTTAATTTTGTGTCCAGTTTCTGTCCGTTTATTCTGCCTGATTCGCTTCACTGTTCATGACCTCTGATTAGATCATCTAATCATCCATCTCGTTGAGTGGTCAACAGTCAGCAATTAATGTATCTCACCTGCTTAATTTGTGAATAACTGATCTTTTTTTTTAACTTTCGCTTATTATCACATATTTTTAAGTAGCTTATTGGTAGATAGGTCATTGTCATCAATTTCTTTCTATTATTCCTTTTTTTTCAGGTAGTCCTATTACAGATCACAATATTCGTCTGACAACTGCTCTTTATCGGTAAGTTTTTCTGTGTGGTTTTACATAGTCATGTACTTTTGGTGAATGGGGCAGTCTATCAAAAATCGTGTGAATGTTCATGTAATTAATCCTGAATCACATTTATTGCATAATGACTGGTTTTCTAGAAATTCAAAAGATGGGGGCAAAATTAAAATCCATTGAAAGTTAAGAGCTTAAACAACTCTAGTTTTAGTATTGTTCCTCATACCGTGTAGTGCATAACTACATGATGACTTCATCTTTGTTGCCTCACAAGTATTTCCTGTTGTGTTATCCTTAGTATAACATAAGCATCGGACTATGATTTCTCCGTCCAAATTATATTCTTAAAAGGTTTGAAATCAATTGTAAAAGAACTTTTGATGGAAAATCTCTGCATATACTTTTCTCAGGCATTTTATTACCTACTATACATAAGGTAGCAAGCATCTTAACGCTTCATTACTGTAACCCCAAAGAGTCTCGAGACTTTTTAATTAATTCAGTAATTATCGTATTTTGGTTTCAACGAACCATCTAGTATACCACAGATTTATTATACTTATGCTAGTGTTGCCTTTGCTGATAACAGGAGTTAGTCATAGTTTAGAATATCGGAACAAAGAATTAACTCGCAAAGACAAGGAATGAATATTATTCTGCAACAATATAGAAAGCATGAAATGATAACAAAAGTGACAGAGTGGGGATAACTTTTGCAAACTGAAGTGCCAGGGTAGGCGTTTTGTACTCTGCCATCACTGTAAATCATTTTTGTCAAATAAACAATTCAGCTGCCAACTATCACTGTATTCTGTTGTTACACTAGTAATAATGGAGGTTTATTCGTTGGATGTATTATTTTCCACTTATAACATTTATGACCGTTTCGTTATGTTTCTTTCATTGTCGTGTAGTTTTGTTTTTCTGTTTATTATTTTCTGCCTAAAGCCTTTTTGGGGCGTTTTAAGAGTGCTTCATACTTTCGGTTTTCTCTTCAACATGCGACCTGATATCCAGTTGTTTGGATGCTGTTAAAGTTATATTTTGATAAATCGCCCTAAACAACTCATTGTCTTCATATATTGCAACTGACGCGAAATGACTATCAGGTTGGCTGTGAATTAGTCTGAAAGCATAGGAGCTGAATTATCTTTTGACTCCAACTCTATATGTATTCGGGAAGTGAATGTTTAAATGTGTCTTCTACACATGCACATACAAAGTCTCTTTAGCGGGTTTCAGTCATTTGATCCAGTTTTCACTATGTTAACATGGTATATCACAATTTTGTGGAAATGTTTCCCACTGGTTATAGTACATCATGAGACAGGTCTGAGAACGAAGTTTTACAACTTCTTTTTATCGTCTTACCACTAGAACAAGTTTCTACTGTGAAAAATCTAACACGTAGGCTGGAGTTTCGTGGGATATTTCGAGCCTTATTTAGGTGTGTATTCGTTACTGATTAGATAGCCTTTTGTGGGCTTGTGGTAGTCACTGTTTTCGTCTTCGTGCAACCACCTACCACAAAATTCCTACTTTCACTTTTAATCTTGCTCAACAGTAAGCCGTAGAAAGCTGTGGTCAGTAGTGTGTGTAATTTTGCTTCTTAACTTTTATACTCAATTACATCTGGTTGATAATACCTTTTAAGAAGTAGGGAGGTGTTGTTTTAGTTAATCAGATAAAAATTCTGTTTTTTATGACATATTGTGAGCATAGTTGGGATGTAAATTACATAATAATTCTTCACATGTACCTTTCCACTTTCTCGGCAATACATTTTTGCAGCTGGCTTACGAATCATCGTTCTAGAACGAGTGTCAACTCGGAGGACGAGGCAGCAAATGAATCTCCAACAGCTTCTACAATTCATTCAGAATCAACGGACAGAGAGACTGCTAATCAAGGTATCAGATATAAATTCTTGTAATTATTGTTCTGTTGGGTGAAAAAGTTTTTAAAGTTTTTTATGAGTTTCGAAAAATTTAGGATTGAATGAATAACTTTTATGTTGTGCGATAACTGTTTGTTTCAGTGTTAATTTCGTTGCGAATTGTCATCAGTTAGAGTATCGTTGAAAATCGTGGGCGTTTTGACAGCTGTTTTGTCTTAGTCTGGTACTTTTTAGCAGTGCGCACCAGCGACCCCACCAGGATCTAGCTCAGGCCCTTCAAGTTACGTGGCGAGCCCGTTGACTGATCAGTCACTGTCTTGGAATCCAATGAACCCATGAATTCTGAATTCTGTCATCCTCGCTACAAAGATATTTCGATCATCTGTGTTAGTGACTTTCATCGTTGTACGTAGAGTAGACAGTAGCATATGTACGTAAATGAAACTAGGAACAGAAGTATTATTTAATGAATCTTGGAGTACGTATGCCATCCTTAAAAGTGTTACGGTAGCCTCATTCTGAAGAGATGAGGCAGTCTTTCAATGCCTTTTTGAACAGTTTGGTCACTTTCCTGTTGACAGTGTCTCTGACCCTGAAATGCGTTCTCAGTGAGTCTCAATGGCTGTATTATCTACGTTTCTTTTACACGGCTTTGACGGTTTGATAATGTTATCAGGCTGCAGAACTCCTATGTGTACTTTCTATAATGATAATAAAGTTAACCAAGTACATTGTGTCAGGATTCTGGGTTTTATTTTGAAGATTGTTGTTTGTCATTCTAGTTACCTCACAGATTGTTTCATCAATATCAAACTTCTTAATCCTTGTCTCATGGTGAGATTGGAAAAGCTCACCGCTTTTTAAAACAAATTGTTCATTAGGAATATCTGTTAAGCCCTTAAGTACAAAGGCGTAATACATTTTTATGAAACAAAGAGTCATCTAATATATTTAATGTTTAAGAATGTCTATCAAAGTTGTACTGAAACATATAAGGAAAAACTTCCACATACCATTCCTGAGCGTTTACTTGAGTTCTTAGTCGAATTCTTAGTAGAGTCCCTCTATTTAAATATTTGACTGTGAACAGTTAGGTTAAAAACGAAACTAAATATGGTGTTGTTGATCTGATTATTCTTGAGTATTCTCATCCTCACCTTTGAACGAAGATGAAGGACTAAGTTGTCTGCAAGAGGCTTTAGTTAAAGAAAAAAGCCAATCATGTCACGATCGAAGCATCAATAAGTAAAAAAAGACATAATTGATTGAAATAGACATAATATGCTGACAAAATCAGCCGTTACCAACATTTATTAACATAATTTAATTTCGCATCACGCGTGACGCCAATGATTGTATTGTTTGGTTGGAAGAGCCGATCAATATATTACCACTACTTTTGAAAGATAGATCTGATTATAAGTTACACGTTGGCATTGTGTGTATGTAATTTAGAACGGTCTATGAAGTCATTATCAGGTTCTTTATTTTAATCACTTATTAGAATTTCACGATCAATATATTTTTATGTGTGAATAACACTTTGCTGCTGTGTGAAAATGTATCAAAATAGTTTTACACACTGATTATTGGTAGATAGTGGTCATGCAAACGTCAGAGAAATTACTTCATGGAATTGGAACAGTTCCAATTTCTTCATTAGTTCAACCTTTTCATTGATGCGATGCAGGAGGTGGTTAAACTAAGTATCTGTCGCTAATTGAAGGAAATACATTAATAAAATAACTCAACATAGTTTCCTAGACAAGTTTCATGTTCTACGGGGTAAATTACATTTATAGTATTATAGCTGCTATGAGGTCAATAGGAAGTAACTCTCCAGCTGAAAATCAAGTACCTAGATGGATAATCCTGTTGTGTATGCATTATTAAGGGAGTCTCATTTCGTCTTTTGTGCAAAGACTTTTGTTCGCTGCAAACACATTCCTATTTTATTATTTGTCAGATTCTCAACAAAAAATGAAATTTCCTATCGACTATTTGACAGATGATTATATTTCTAATGTCATGAAATCCGCTCCCAGATGTCGTCAAGTAATGAAATATAGTGGCCGTATATGTTGCAGCACTGTGGTATGTTACCTCATCATATTTTTAATTCATTCAACCATCCTTATCATCAACCGCATACACTTAACGTATTTAAATATAATATGTACCTGAATTTTATTGTTTTCCTACCTCACTGAATATATACACAAGTAGTGAATTTTTTTCCTTCACGTTTCCAGTGGAACATAGGGCTCCAAGCTAAAGGCTTGAAGTTTTTGTAGCAGTGTTAATTTCTACAGGATGTGGTTGCTAGCCTCATGTCCAACCTTTCGTCTTTACCAGCATTATTTCTGGCTTAGCGAGGTAAAGGAGTGCGTCTGTGGCCGGGGATCAAATCCCGGACCATGTGCATGATTGGCGAGCGTCCTAACCTCTGTGCCCACCGACGCACCAAGTACTCAATGCTGAAACTTAACATAGAAAATTGCTAACTGAAATCCAAAATCATTGAACTTGCAGTTGTTTTTAATCGGTTTCGTTCAGAACAGGAGTGTTAACAAAACATGATCATTTCAAAATATAGTGCTGAACATATAAGTACAATTTAGAAAATTATATTTGTAAAATCTCAGCGAAATTGAAATGATTCATTCCAACGTTTATAAATGTCTACTTCTCACTCAGCGCTCAATTATTTTGCAACTACCCGGTCAAATATTGATCACAGTTCATATGAATTATAAGTATAATTATTATGAAAATTTGAAAAAAGAAAAGAAGGTAAAAGGAGTAGTGAAGATAAGTACCGAGAAGAAATAAGTTGCTTTAAGTACATTTTTTAGCAAATGGTAATTAGTGCAAAAAATGAGACGTAAATGGCATCATTGCCTAGCACAAATTGTATTTTGATTTATGCCTGAATTTTTGCGCCAAAGTTGAACTATAGCGCCTCAGACGAACAAGTGTATTTATTAAATGAATGATTAACAAATGCTAAAAATGCCAAACAGGGTGTCATTCCTTTACATGTCTCAAGAATGTATCGTAGTTGCTCAGTGGAGTCTTGAAATCGAACTATATCCTGTTCATATATTTGCCTAGATGACTGTAGATAGTGTCATTTTTGAGGTTCCGTTTAGGCTCTAGTCCTATTTATCAGTTATTTTAATGAAGTTTGTATGAGTGTCTCTTACTGGAAACTACTACTTTTCACTTACAGATAAAAGCGTCAACGTTTTGGGGACGGAATTTTATTCTTTCGGGATCTGAATGTGGTCATTTAATCGGTTGGGATCGTGTTACAGGAAAGCCTGTAATCGCTATTAAAGCAGATGCATCAGTTGTTAATCGAATTATACCACATCCCCAGTTACCAAGTAAGTTAGACTCATTTTTAATTAGTGATAGTGTAAAATTCGTGTTTAAAATGAGTGTTTGATTTTAGCATTCCACTGTACGGCTTGACTGGAAAATACTAGACGTAGGTTATATTTCTGTTTATCAGTCTATATGTTATCATTTATATGCTTCAGTGTTCTTTCTTAGTGATAACTTGACGTACCCTGTAGCCAACTAGGTTGGGATGTATTACATGCATGCATACAATCGCTCATTCTTGTAATGTTATGTTCATTATTTTATTCGTTTGACTAAACGTAATAATGTACAAACCCAGGTAGTTGTAGTGAATCGGTAGGAAGCCTTCGACGCCTAACTTCCATGTTTATTGGTAATCGCCAGCATACACATACCATACTCCGATGGAACTGTTGTCTCCTTTGAGTTTCAAACCCCTATCACTCAGTATTAGAGTCACAGATGTCCAACCCTAAGCTATTGGGTACACGACCTACCTCCTGTAGAACTGTTATAATCATATTGATCATTCATTGAGGTAGTGACCAATGCGATTCTTCCTACCGATTGCCACCAGTTACTTAAAATCAATTCGGAGTGTTGGTGAATCTCCAAAATGAATGATCAGATTGTACGACTTGACTAATCTAATTCGGTTATCATTAACGGTCAGATATCATGATACTGGTAACTCCTTTAGTGACCAACCAAAGTGATTAAAACAGTAGTTTTATAATAAGACAATTTTAATATTGCGTGAATGCAGACATAACATTTTGTTTATATTATCCACATCTGTACTCTGACTAATGTGGGAAACGTTGACTTAAGTAGTTTATTTAGTTGAATTATTGATTAGATTTGCCCCTAATCGTCTTAAGGGTAGCATCTTCAACTGCAATAGTGTGGTACATTTCAGTGGGCATATAAGCTACGGTTGCAATTATTTATATATATATATATATATATATATATGTCGTAGGTGAAACTATAGGCAGTAGTGATAGATAAAGCGCGAAACTTGTCGAAGAAATGTATCATTTGAGTTTCCTATGTTTTATTTGGTCTTAAAATAGGCCAGTAAAATGTGGGAGAACAGAGTGTACATAGGCAAATAGTAGCAGCCTTTATTGTTAATTAAACTAATGATAACCAATGTTTTTTATGGCTAGTAATCAGTGTCATACATGTTGGTTGTAAACCTCTTTTATGCATACCTCGAATTTAAACTGTGAATGGAGCACCCATGGAATTATCTAAATATTTCTCTGTGCGAAGTCGGTTACTACAAACAGAAAGAATCAAACAGACTGAATACTTCCGAATGTACCACAGTTACTGCCTTCTAAATGATTATATTTTCTTCAATTCCCTCATTTTAGAATAGTTCAAAACTTTAACAAATAAAATTTAAGAAGTTAAACTAGTCTTCAAATTTATAGCCCAAATTTATGGAATATACATTTATTATACTTGATTCTGTAGTTCGCTACAGAAGTCCTCATAACTGTGACTCTTTAACAAGAAAAAAATTAGTGAAATCACTGAAAGTTTGAATGAAATGGGTTTACTATTTTGTTGAGTGTTGTTTTTTTGTCGCTTAAAGCTTCTGTGGCAATAAAAAAAATTCAAAACTGTAAATAGAAACGAAGTGAAGAGAAATCAGTTTCTCAATCTTTTTCTTGTAATCAGCCTTCATATTTCTCAATGGTGGTCACTATTGCAACCAGCATACTGAATGTTCTATTGTAAGGGTCTGCTGTATATAACTGCTAGTGTTATTTGCTTTGTTTTTCTTTCTTCTTTTTTCTTACAGTAATTGCTGTAAGCGGAATCGACCGGTCAATAAAAATCATTGAACCAGATCCAAACGTTTATGAAGAAAATGCTAATGATGATAGTGATGGTAGTGAGTTATCAGCCTTTCAGAGAGTTGTGAAACAACACGAAGAGGAAGCCGGTGAGGTATGTGGATATCAAATTGTACATAAACTATTTTTCTATTTTATCTACCTTAGGAATGATTGGTTACAGGATTTCATTATGAGTTGACATTGGTTAGAGGACCGTTGGAAAACCTGGGAGTACTGGGCAGTTGTTTCGTCCTAGTTTGGGACTACTCAGCAGTACGCACCCACCGGGGTTCGAACCCAGGATCTTCTGGTTACAAGTCGAACTCGTATACCATTAAGCCATTTGGACCCTATCCAATAACCCATGAATTCTTTCTTCTGCCAATTCACGATATAGGAATGATTGTATGTAATTTGGTTTTCTTCTAATAATGTATTAGCAGTTGTATATGTCATATATGATTCAATCCTAATTACATTGACTTGCAATATTTAGACAATAGGCAGCTACACAAAACTTTCCGCCTAATACTTGTGTTGATTCGCTCCACTCCCAAGAATAGAGAAAGTTATACAAGCTTGTTTAAACGGTATTTACTTATGAACAAGATAGAATAGTTTCTAGATACTGGAAAACAAATTCAAATAGGTGGTTGCAGCCAAGACTAAATTTTTGTTCACTGCAACCATCTTTTTGTTTTTCCCCGAGATATCGAAGCGTCATGTGATAAATCTAAGAAGTTTAAACAATATCTAAACTATAATAAGAAGAAGTAAAAAGGCATGGTTGTACAATAAGTGTGTAGTCTAGAATTTTAGCTCCCAATGACATTTAATGTGAGTACAAAATTTAATTATTCTGTTGAGCTTTGAATTGCAACTGTCAGTTAAATCACTCCTGTGTAAATGATGGAGAGCATTTGTAGTTTTTAATTTTGTATTCTCTGAGCTTGATAATTTCATTCTTCTTAAGCGTCTAAAACATTAAACTAGAAATATGTGTGTCAGACAAGCTGTCATTGTGTCTTCATAAACGTTCATTCTAAATGGACTAAATTTTGATTGACAAAAATGGCTTATTGACTTAAACATTCGACTTTTATTTAGAGCCTCTTACGTTCTTCATCACCTTCAACTACTTCAGGACCATAAAACATCCTAAGCTATTAAAGAGGTAGGTTATATTCGCATAGCTAAGTTGCTTCTGCAGGAAGTATTTATTGAAGCGATCAAAGTGGAGTACGATATAGGATTCCTGAATACACCTTTCACGTTTGGCTGACCGTATGCCTTAGGCAACTTTAGCCCAAGATTTATCAGAGTAGCATACATATACTCATATCTTAAATTCATCTTCATTTGCTTTATGGCGTTCAACCTCTGCCAATGTTATATATATATATATATATATATATATATATATATATATATATATTGATATGTATCCACATATATGTATTAATGTGTATGTGTATGTTGGTCTCTCCTTCTGTTTGCTCTCTTAGTCTGTGACCATTTCACTTGTATGAACTTGTCTCCTTTATCAATGTATATTCTCCTTATATTATATTATATATAATATGTGTTTGTTGACAGTCCGTTGCTTGGTGACACATATCCATATATGGTGGTTGTTGACATGTCTGCTATATTTCGCTATGTATATATGGATCGATACTTCGTTTTAATTAGCCATTCATGTTAAGACTGTCTAATGATTGTTCACACCCTTGTCATATATATTTCGTTCTCACAATTTGTGTGACTGACTTACACTTACTTACTCACTTTGGTGTGATACCACACTTTGCATTCTCCTTGTGTTGGAAATAGAAGTATCATCGCAAACCTTAGTGGTCTTCTGATTTCCGCCTTCTTGCGTCAGGACTATTAGTTTTCTCGACCAGTCCATAACAATAATTTAGCGACGAGTACATAACAATATATAATATTGGATACTGGAGTCCAGGGTGAGTAATTTCGTGGGACTGGGAGTTCTGGTATATGAATGCTTATCTTGATTGTCGTTCACGCTAAGCAAGAGCCGATATGGATGACCTTTCATGTCAACTAGGTGGAGACAGGCCAGCCAAGGCGACAAAAGTCCTCACGTGGCATGGTAGCAGGATAGCACCTGTAAATGTTGACCAAGTGATAACCCGGTTGGCGCCTAGAGATATATATATATATATATATATAGTTTTCAATCTTTTTTCTTTTCATTATTCCCTACCTCATTTGTAGTTATGGCGTGTGGTAGCTTAAGTCACTACGTAGTTTCGTTATAGTTTACTGATTTAAAGTCATTTGCACTTTAGAGTAGATTGTATTCTGTTTAAAACACTAATAGAATATTTTTTATTCGTTTTCTAAGAAACAGTATTTTGGTGCAAAATGTATCAGTTGCTTGTGGTTGGACTACACGAAAGTGTGAAAAAACCAGTTGCACGGATTTTTGAATATTTGACATTGCACAATGTGCAAGATAAGTGTGATAGTGAATTGTTAAGTTTCCTCAGACACTATCACACCAAAATTGTTCTCATTACTGTTTACTCAGTCGTTTTTGTGACCTCGGTATAAGTATCATTGAATTCAGTTATTTCTCTTACGTTGAACTTAATTTTAATTTGACTGCCCACCTATATATCTAGGACTCAGTAACTCACATAACTGAGTCAATCAATGCAGATCGAAGCAAACATTTTCTCCGTACATGTTTGCCTATATTTATACTTTAAGGCTCCAACAAATTATTGGATTTTTTTTATAATACTTCAATAGGTTTCCTTAAACCGTAGGATTATCTCTATACTTTGAAGTTATTTTGCGACATCTCACAAATGTTTACCACTAATCTTAAAACCCTAGGTTTCAATTATGCAGACGATTTGCTCTATTCTCCACATACTTCTTGCTATTCTGTGTATAATTGTATGGTGTAATGTAGGTACAGGTTTGAGATAGAAGCACAGTATAAGTTGTATTGAATTTTAAAGTTTAGCATGCACGTCAGTACCTTCTAATGCCTATAAATTTTAAGAATATGTAATCACTCTGGGATGCGTGAACTTCTTGTATGCACTGATATCATTGTAGTGTTAAGTATTCTATTATAGATAATATAGATGAATATTACGCTTAGACAGTTAACTACAATTAGCAGATGAACTCACAGTTATTGTAAACCACAGTTTAGCGTTTGTTTACTTTTAAAACAGTTAGTTGTGTGTTTATGTACTATGCGTTCATATTTTATAACTAAAAATTCATTCTCTTGTTGCTTTTGTATTATTTCCTTGTCTAGTTGTGTCGAACCAATGAAATAAAAACGAAACAAATGCTTAGTTCTGGGAGTACTCATTTGGATAGTATTGCTCGTGTACGGACTAGTAGAGGTATGTTGTAACTATTTGTAAGAAATTATTTTCATAATTTTTGAATCTGTACAAAATATATGTGTCAGAAGATTAATCTCTTCTCTTTTATTCCTTTACATTCCCAGTGGAACATAGGGCTTCAAGCAGTGTGTTATTTACTTTTACGGGATTGGGTCGCTAGCCTTATGCCTAACCTCCCCTCTTTACCAGTCTTATTACTGGCTTAGTGAGGTAAAAGAGTGAGTCTGTGGCCGGGGGTCGAACCCCGGAACACATGCGAGCATTCTACTACTGTGCCACCGACGCACAGGGTAATCTCTACAAACCGGTTTTTAATTTATCTCTACAAGCAGCAGCTGTCCAGTACTCCCAGGTTTTCCAATGGTTCTCTAACTAATGTCAGCTCATGATTAAAATCGTGAAAGAAATGGGGATAGTGGACATCTCTGACGGACATCGCTGGTTGTCACTACTTCAGATGACAATTCGCCATAAGCTCTTACCTGGCTGGCTGCGTGAGTTCGAGTAGAGTGCCTCGATCAGTGTGATATATTTTCTCGACATTCACTTTACAGTCCAACATCACCATACTACCTCTCGGTCAACAGAATCGAATGTCGCTTTCACATCAAGAAATATAACGATTGTTGGATGCCGGTAAGAATGTGTGTGTGTTCCAGAATCTGTCGAAGGGTGAGGATATGACCAAAACACCCTCTTCCTGGTCAAAAGCCTGTCTGGTTCTTTCGTGTTTGTTCCTCCCGTGGACTGCTTAGTCTACGCATTATTGTTGAGCCTAGAACTTTAGATACCATATTAGTCAAGCTAATCCCCCTGTGATTATCACAGGAATATCGGTCTCCCTCCTTGTATAATGGGATAGTCAATGACTAACACCAGCCCGACGGGACTTCCTCTAATTCCTAGACGTTGCCTAGTACCCCAGTTAACGCAGATAGTAAACTGTCTCCACCGTACTTAAATACCTCAGGAGTCATTCCATCTGGTCCTGCTGCCTTACTTCCTTTCAGACTAGTGACAGCCGTAGTAGCCTCAGTTAGGAATGGAGGACTTGTGTCTATATCCCATTCAGGGAGGTATTGGATGTTCGTTAGGTTGAGCGTGGCTGTAGGCCAACTGAATTGCTCCTGAAAGTGTTCCTTCCGACCTTCTAATCGTCTGTCCTGAGAGGTAATAATGGTGCAATTTTTCTCGGAGACTGTTTCACTTATCATTTGCCTTTTACCACCTGTTTCCCTGATAAGTATAAATGGTTGTTTGGTGTTCCCAATCGCCGATGCCTTTTCCATCTATTTCTCGTTTGTCGATCAGCACGGTTCACGGTTGTAGAGCCCAGTGGTAGAGCATAATTCCGCTACACAGAAAGTTTTATTCTGATAAAGTCTTTGAGTTTTATGCAGTAATTATTATTATTATACCTTGATTCCATACAGTACTTTGATACAACTATGGAATTTTCAGCCTGTGATGCCGGTAGCCCAAATTTAGCAGACCAACCATTGATATTGGATGTGCGTCGGTCGCGGATCGAATCCCGGACTACGTGTATGGTCGGCGAGCGTTCTAATCGCTGATGACGTTTTAAAATACAATTTATTGCTCATAGTCATATCAAAGTACTCACACAACTTTCTGACTTTGTTTATATACACGAGTAAAAAATTGATTAGACATATGAGTGAATAAATAAAAGTCAATATAAAGTTCAATAAACATGCGTGAAACTGAAATAAAGTACATTTGAAAATAACAAATGATATCAATAATATATAATGCGACGAGAAATAAGGCGTGTAAGTCAATCTATGATGGAAGATAAAGAACATTTTGTGATAAAGGAATACGAAAAATAATCTAGTTACGAAGAAAAATGTTGATTGATCTCTGGGGTAATACGATGTATTACCGTATTCGTTAGGTCACAGGCTTTCTGAAAAACGGAAATGGATATACTTGAATTCCTAAGTTCCTGTTCTGTGATGCCTTGTATGAATTACTGAAAAAACTGTATCAGATGACATTTGCGTCGGTAATTTGAATGGGATTTGACTAATTGTGCTACAGGAGAACAAACTTATAATAGCGGGAGCTATTGACCTCGCTTCACAAGTTTGATGGTGATTTGCCTTATTTATGGTAGTAGTTAGTTGTTTACTAATTGTAACACAGTGGATTAAAGTTTTAAGCCGCGAACCACCCTCATTTCGAGAGGCTAGGTCTTGAAACATTGCGCTTGGTCTTGAAATATTCGTCGGACAATAGCATCATGGATAATTTATGTCATGCGTACACTCCCTCTTCAGCTTTCTTTTACTATGTTTAGAATTTGTTTTCGAGACTCATGACCTAGTATAAATGTATGCTCTCTTGGAGTGATTGAATTGTTCCCAGATATGCTGATTACACTTGTCTTTATTTACAAAGCGTAAAGGAAGATGTATGATAGATTAAGGGAGATATTTTTTCTATATACAGCTTTAAAACACAGAAGTTATTTTAAATAAGATACAGATGTGTAAATACTTTCACACTGTTTAACACAGAAGCTGAGTTCACAATGACATAGCAAATGATAACTGATTATGCTATTCATAACACTAGTAGGAAACCTAGCTTCAAGGCTTCCTACCGATTGTCTCTAACCGTATAATATCAACTTTCATTCAGACCATTTTGAAATTTATTCACTGAAGTGTGCGTCGGTGGCACAGTGGTTAGGACTCTCGACGACCATGCACATGGTCCCAGGTTCGAGCCCGCGCCGACGCACACCTGATATCTATGGTCGGCCTGCGAAATTTGGGCTACCGATATCCATGCTGAAAATTCTATACTTGTACCAAAAATACAGTATGGAATCAAGCTGTAAATAAAAGAAAAAGAAAAGAGTCTTTTAGAAACAAATCGGTAATGTGCATTAGTGTATGGGGTAAGCGAGTGTTAATTACTCAAAATCGTTTTAACATGGGCTTATGTAACAAGTCTTTGTAGTGGTTAATCAGCATCTTCTACATTAATATACAACTCTTCTTTTTATTTCTACAGTTGCAAGGATGATCTTACTGCGCATATTTCATGGGCCAAACGACTCTACTTCAACAAACCAAACGAACAGAGATACAAATTCGTCGGACTGAGAACTTTGTAAATTTAACTTTCGAGCTCTCGTCTTCACTTTTCTTTTTCATATTATTTTGTAGAATAGAAACTAGTATTATTCTACCGATTGCCGTTAATCTGTTTTTTCCAACACTTTGTCGTGTATTGTCCACATTTACGTACATGATAGTGAACGTCAAGTGGAAGACAGTTACATCGCTTTTCCAGTATATAGCTTGTTGATGAAGTGGCAGTAGCAACACCCTATATTATTTTGTTATTTCATGCTAAACTGCTTTTAATACTTATGATTTTGATTTCCTCTATATTTGTATGACTTTTTCCGTATTTATCCTGGGTGGTATAAGTAATGAAATAGTTTGTTCATTACATTCTGGATTTACTTATGTGTTATAGAACAATTTGAAATTTAAGCGTTAATTTTTGTACGACTCCTTTTGAACAGGTTGAAATACTTTGTGGTTGCGTAAATCTAGTAAATTGGTACTAAGGTACCAATAATCATAAGGACAACCATTACCAGAATTGACTGGTTTGAATATTTCATATATTGCACTCAGATACTCCATTTAGCATGTTAGTCTAATTAGACTATCAAATGGTTCGAGCGAAATCATTCCCTGAATGAAAATTGGAAGCTTGAATTGAAGGTTAAACTGTTTGGTTCACATAGGTCCACAAGAGTTATGTACTGCAGTTAAAGTATCACTACAAAGTATTCATTGACTAAAGTTAATTATAAATGTTGCCAAGTTATGAATCGATCGCGGCTTTTAGTATTGCTGTTGACATCCTGAGCTGTCCCATAAAAGGTGACAATTAATTGTACTTTCAGACCATAAGTGACACAGAATGTCACTCAGAAAACATTGTTTTTTATCCATTCATTTGTTAATTCCGGCATTCAGTAAACAGTTACCGTTAATAGTTTCACATCTGATCATAAGTACCTTCAGTGCTACTTGTAATAATTATGAAATATTTTACAAAATCTTTGCTGTCAAATTTGTATGCTGAACTCATCTGCACCAACAATATCAGTAGTTGCAGATCCTTGAAACCAATAGCTGCTACCTTGTCATGGTGATCGGGCTTGCGCATCGCAATGATCCAACAAGCTACACTAGCTGAAACTATTTATCCTGCAGGTCCTGCCACGCCAGTGAGGTTGTTAGGATAGCGATTGGACTAAAAGCAATTGTCAGCATAGTGGAGGAAATTTTTCTCACAGTAACAGCAGTGAGGTGTTTCCCTCAGATGACCAGCTATGCTGTATCTCCACTCCGGAAAGAGGGGGTTGGAAAAGGTCAACCCCAACAATTGTACATCACGACTTAACCTGCGGTGGTCCGTAACCAGGGTAAGTTTACTGATACCGGACTAATCCAAGAAACCAGTTCGTACAGGCCGTGTGAGATCGCACTAAGCAGCTGTCTCTTGAGTCGCGCTGCGCTAACCATCTTTCAGTTTCAGGTACCGATGATTCAATCAACTTCCCCGATGTGGGCAGCCGGGAAGTAACAACCACACACTTCCAAAAGCACACACAGCCTTCGTGGGCATCATTCTCCTTCACCCACTTAACTTTTATCATCCTACCCCCCTAGTGCAGTCAGTCGTATTCAGGCTAGTGAGTCATCTTCACTCTGTGACTACGGACAACGATGACGACTATAGAAACACCCCCGACAGCTTCCCACAGCCGCGTCACCAACTTCAAAATGGAGCACTTAACGCCAGGACCCTCTGCCAAATCGGACAACATAAATCACTGGCATCTTGAGACATGGATGTATGTTGTGTTTCGAAAACACCTATACAAGACTCGGGTGTGGTCATTCAATTAACCTAACCTGGACAACAAGATGATCGTCTTCTACAGTTCTGGTCGGTTAATCATCTGTTCCCAGTCAGCACAAAGACAAACACTGTGTAACCTGGCGACCTCCATCATAAAATCAACGCTGGGCTCATACCACGTAGCGACAGGGTATCTTTGGCGAGGGTCAGTAGAAAAATGCCACTCGTTCTGGAACACGTGCGTAGATTCTGGTCCGCGAACTTTTATGTTTACGATGAAACGGACATAAGAAATTGTTGGCAGCGAGACAGTTATGTCCCCAAGTGGATCGCCACTGATTCTCTATTTAAGTAAGAAATGGACAAACGCATATCTGAGGTCGACAGCGGGACTATTCTTGATATGGCATGGTACAACATACAGTTAGCGGTAAAAGCTGTTAATAACCCGAGCACTAAAACTATTAGGAGCCATTGGATTTCTGCCACATCATCCGGAGTGATTGACGCAAGAAGACTGATTACAGCGAGCTCCGATTATTATGAGAAGCGAAAGCTACTGAAACGTAAACTATCAAGAAGTCTTCGCAGCGACTGTGAATATTGATAGGTGAAAAAACCTGAAGAGACGGAAAAGGCATCGGCGATTGGGAACACCAAACAACTATTTATACTTATCAGGGAAACAGGTGGTAAAAGGCAAATGATAAGTGAAACAGTCTCCGAGAAAAATTGCACCATTATTACCTCTCAGGACAGACGATTAGAAGGTCGGAAGGAACACTTTCAGGAGCAATTCAGTTGGCCTACAGCCACGCTCAACCTAACGAACATCCAATACCTCCCTGAATGGGATATAGACACAAGTCCTCCATTCCTAACTGAGGCTACTACGGCTGTCACTAGTCTGAAAGGAAGTAAGGCAGCAGGACCAGATGGAATGACTCCTGAGGTATTTAAGTACGGTGGAGACAGTTTACTATCTGCGTTAACTGGGGTACTAGGCAACGTCTAGGAATTAGAGGAAGTCCCGTCGGGCTGGTGTTAGTCATTGACTATCCCATTATACAAGGAGGGAGACCGATATTCCTGTGATAATCACAGGGGGATTAGCTTGACTAATATGGTATCTAAAGTTCTAGGCTCAACAATAATGCGTAGACTAAGCAGTCCACGGGAGGAACAAACACGAAAGAACCAGACAGGCTTTTGACCAGGAAGAGGGTGTTTTGGTCATATCCTCACCCTTCGACAGATTCTGGAACACACACACATTCTTACCGGCATCCAACAATCGTTATATTTCTTGATGTGAAAGCGACATTCGATTCTGTTGACCGAGAGGTAGTATGGTGATGTTGGACTGTAAAGTGAATGTCGAGAAAATATATCACACTGATCGAGGCACTCTACTCGAACTCACGCAGCCAGCCAGGTAAGAGCTTATGGCGAATTGTCATCTGAAGTAGTGACAACCAGCGATGTCCGTCAGAGATGTCCACTATCCCCATTTCTTTCACGATTTTAATCATGAGCTGACATTAGTTAGAGAACCATTGGAAAACCTGGGAGTACTGGACAGCTGTTTCGTCCTAGTTAGGGACTCTTCTCAGTATGCACCAAATGGATGTTCCTGGGTTCTAATCCCTGTGTGTGCGTACTGCCGAAGAGTCCCTAACTGGGACGAAACAGTTGTCCAGCACTGCCAGGATTTCCAATGGTTCTATGACTAATGTCAGCTCATGATGAAATCCTGAAAGCAATCAGATCCCTACAAACCATCACTTGAATACCAATGAGATGCTCATTGGCGACTGGCTCTATTCAGGTAGGTAGTTACCTGGGTTCCAGTGGGAAGTCGTGACCCGTAGGGTGCAGCCGGTCGGATGTGAGGACAAATACTCGCCGAAGACATTGGCTAGCGGTTGCGCTATGTCGTGAATTGGCAGAAGTTAGAATTCAAGGACCATTGGATCGGGTCCCAGTGGCTTAATGGTATACGAGCTCGCCTTGTAACCGGAAGGTTCTCGGTTCGAATCCCGGTGGGTGCGTTCTGATGAAGAGTCTCAAACTAGGACGAAACAGCTGTCCAGTACTCTCAGGTTTTCCAATGGTTCTCTGACCAATGTTAGCTCATAATGAAATCCTGTAACCAATCTAATCCCTACAAACCATCACCTGAATCCCCATTTCTATTCAACTTCATCATAGATGTACTAGTGGTCTTAACCCTAACTACTGACTTCAGCGACTCAGGAATTAACTTGTTACTGTCAGGGAATAATCTCGTTGACTTAGAATATGCAAGTGGCATAGTCCTCCCTGCTAGGTGAAGACACGAACAAAATGCAGGGTCTTCTGAACACGTTGGGGCGCCGAAATATTAGAATGTTTTGCATGCAATTCGCTCCTGCTTTCGAATGTAAGATGATGCTAGAGGACTGGACTAAGTCGACTACTCCTGGCGTAGAAATAGGTAGTGAAGTAGTAGAGCGTGTTGACCACTTCACTTATTTGGGGATTTTCATCAGCCGACGCCGACGAGTTGATCGCTGACGAAATCTCAGCACGGATATATAGGGCTAGTTTCACATATGCCACTTTACACCGCCTATTGTGTAGACGTGATATCCGACAATCGACCAAAGCACGTGTGTACTGCTCAGCAGTCTGCTCCGTCCTTCTATCATACCTGTGAATGGGACCTGGCCATTGAGGCTGGAAGACATGAAAAGACTGACTTTCTTTGTTCACAGGTGCATGCGTCCCATCTTCCGTGTTAAGTGGTGTGATAGGATGAGCAATATTCCAATATCCAATATCGTTTTTACGAGCTAGTATAAACCAATTTGATTTCTTTGTGCTCGCTTCTTGATTGTGAGGTATAGGTTCTTGATCTTCGGTAAACTTCTGCGTAGCTTGTCCCGCCACTCGACTGTCGTAGCTTTGGTTGACTCCAAAGGGAGTAGTGCTGGGATTAATTATATGTGGTTTGTAGTATGAGGTATGTTAAGACTGTTACTACTGTGATTGGAGTTGATCCTTTCGCCAGTTAGTCCTTCGGTATTGTCGACAAGAGAAAAGAGATAGTAATAATAATAATAGTAATAATAATAATAGATATAATTAGTGAAGCTATTCAGACTAAGAGACAGAAACGAAAATAGGAAACGTAACAACAGTCAGCTCATTAAGTTTGAAGAATAATATATATATC